TCTGTGAATAAGTTTCTATATATAGAACTTATTAAAAGATATCATGACTCTTCTCTAGCAGGTCATTTTATAGATATTAGAACTCATGAGTTGCTCATAAGAAAATACTTCTGACTGAAGATATAAGAACTTATGAAGAAGATAGTGAATTCTTATACTATTTATCAGAATTCATGAATAGTGCAGTTCAGATTATATAAAGAACTTACTTCTCTACTCATTCTGTAGAAACCTTGAAAACAGTTAGAAATGAATACTCTTATAAGTCTCTCTGAAAGTAAGAATATATATAATATCTGCTTTAACAGTGTACTGATGATAGTGAATTACTTTATCAAGATAGCACACTTTATACTCACTTACAAGAACTTAAAGTTAAAGAATTTAACTCATATCTTTGTCTGTGATATAATTCAGTTATATGAGTTATCTGTGAATATTATCTCAGATAGAGAATTAATCTTTATAGAAGAGTTCTGATCTGATCTGATAATTATACTGAAGATCTTATGAGATCTAAGCACAGCTTTTCATCAATAGATAGATAATCAGACAGAATATCTGATAAGTATATTAAAACAGTATCTACAGTGCTTTATTAATTATAATCAGAATGACTGAGTGTATTGATTATCACTCACAGAGTTTATATACAACAACTCAAAGTATATCAGCACAGATAAAACTCTCTTTGAAATACTTACTGAGACTTATCTATGAATGATCTTGATAAATCTGTGAGAGTACACTATAGAGTGTGATAATATCTGTGAATAGACTGAGAGAATTCAGAAGATCTGAGAGAAAGTCTGTAAATTCTTAAGAAAGACTCAAGAGTATCAGAAGAGATACTATGACTTTAAGTATATTATAAAAAGTTTTAAGAAAGATAATAAAGTCTGACTGAGTCTAGAAAATATTATTATATAAAGATCTAGTAAGAAACTGAATCTCTTACAGACAGAGTCTTATAAGATTATGAAGAAAATTAACTCACAGTTCTATAAATTAAAACTGTTATCTGAGTTACAGATATACAATATTTTTTATATCTCTTTACTCTATAAATATAAGAAATTTTCAGAAGAGAATTCTGTGACTTATCACTCTATCTATAAAATACTAGAGAGTGAAAGAGAATATCAGATTAAAGAGATTATTAACTTAGAGAAGTGAGATTATAAGCTCTGATTTAAGATTCAGTGATAAGAGTATTCTGATAAGATAAATAAGTTCACTTAAGAATTATCTGAGTAGATAAGATATCTGCAGAAGCTAAGATATAACTTTTATACTGTGAATTCTGATAAGTTAGAATAATATAATCTTCACTAAGAATCTGATTGTGATAAAGATATTAATACTGTTATTTATAAACTCTAGTCTATAAGATGATGAGTTTCTACTAAGATGAACAGTTCACAGTGTATATAAGAGAAGAAGAAATCATATTCTTATTAAAGCTAAAAAATAAGAAAATAAACAGAGTTATAAACATAATTTGAAGATTAATAAAGAAAAAATAAAGAAAACTTAAACTTATATTCTTAATATCTGTAATACTCAATTCTCTTATAACTATCAATTTCTCTTTTTAAAGAAATAGAGAGTATTATATCTGCAGTACAGACAATTATTGTATTTAATATAAAGACTGTCAGAAATGCACAGACTTCAGAGAAGCTGAATATCAGAGTATATATAATTACAGCAGAGTCTTGAGAACTGACTATCTATATATATAATCAGATACTTCTTATAAAGTTGTATTCACTCTCTCAGTTATACTGAAGTATTCAGTCTGAAAATAATTAAGATATGAAGAGAGAGCTTATCTACTCAGATTAACTTTTATTATAAATTCATGATATTTATATTATCTTGATTACTCAGATTTTATAAGTACTCAGAAACTTATCTCTCATTAATAATAAGATTATGAAAATGCACTGTAGTGTGAGAATCATTGATAGAGAATCTAGACATATTCACATATATCTGATCAGTGATTGTATAAGCAGAGAAAAGATAATCATAGATCTATAAGACTGCAGAAGACACTGATAATATCAGAAGCTTTACAAAAACTGTTAGCTAGAGTCTGTAAGAAATTACTTATAAGAAGACTTACAGTAAAGAGAGAAACTGTATTACTTAAAGTTAGAAACTGATCTGAAAGAGACAGAGAATTGACTGCTGATCTGAAGATCAGATACAGTGATAGAGCTGAGAGAGATAAAGATACAGTTATAAGTAGCAGTATCTCTGCTTCATCAGCTGATAAAAAGTGATTAGAGAAGTTATAAAGATATTTATAAAAAGCTCAGTAGTAATTAGATATTATTTATAAAGAGATTAAAATTGAAAAAATTTTTTTATTCTTAAGAAGTTCTTGAATTAATATATAAATATTATCAGAAACACTCTCTCTCTATTATCTGAGTGAAAACACTTCACAGATAAATAAGAATACTCACAGTTTATAAGAATAAGAGCTGTTATAGAAAAAGAAAAAAGAAGATGAGATTTTATAAACAGATCTGAGATATTTATACTACTTTAGAGAGATTTACTTTCACTGTGAATAATTCTATAAAACAGTCAGATTACTCTAGTAAATAAAAGTGATTATAAATTATAGATCTGAATCTTTCTATATAACTATAAAGAGTGATTATAGACTGTAGATATCTTAATTCTATAATTCTACAGAGTTAATAAAAGAATGAAAAATTCCTTATAATTCTACAGTATCAAAGAACAATGATTTATAAGAATAAGTAAAAGATTAACTTATAAATGTTTCTCTTTAATAAGAATAATCTTATAGAGAGTGATTTATCTGTGAGATGAATCTGTATAATAATTATATAAGAATCTTATAAAAATAATTAAGAGTCAACTAGAACTCTTCTATATAAAAGATATAAGATGAATCTGTATAATAGTCAGAGAAGAATCTGTAGATTATAAAGAATCTTACAGAATAAGAAACTAAATAATAGACTCTTTTCTCTTCACAGTAATAAGAGATTTTTTCTCACTGAGATTTTTTATAGATATAAAGAATTTTTAGTAAGTATCACTGCAGTGCTGAGCTGACTATGAAGTCACTCAGTGAAAGGCTTCATGAATGAAGTCTTAGAGAGAGAGGAATATGTAAGAAATCTCACTTCTCATAGATTCTTTATCTCTATTTCTATCTCTTATATAATCAATAGAGCTAGCAGCCCTTGACTACACACAACTATATAGACTGAAGTTCATGAATACTATTTATAACTCAGCTTGAATACTATTATACATTTGATCTCTACATTTTATCTTTCTACTGTGAACACTTCTAGTAGTTAACAGTACATATCACATCAAGCTGCAAACACCCGAATAATCGCCTGCGAGCACTTATTCTTACATCTAGACACAGTCACATGGTCAGTCTAACTGTGATAATGTATATCAACTGATTCTATATTTTTAGCAGTCTCAGTGTAATTAGGGATTAATTGTATATTCAAATCATCAATTGCTGCCTGTATAACTGCTTTGTGATGCATGTTGTGAGTGTTTCAAGATGGATGAAAAAATGAAGATTGAGCGGGCGTTGGGTGTAAGCGGGCGTTGGGTGGGGTGGTTGATGCATACAAGAGGTTTTCAATTAGGTAACTTAACTAGATGAATACAATATTTACAAGGCCTATTCCACAGCAGCGCCGAATCGTGGCATCTATGCCTATATAGGAAGGCCGTGCGTACTAAATATTTCATGCGACTTGGCGCTGCAGGATCCCTCTATTAAACACATGTACTCTGTTGCCATGAAAACACGCAGAATGGTAGAACGTGGGTGGGACTGAGAGTGTTTTCTCTCCTGGTCTTGCTTGTCTCTGATCTCCGACATCATTCATGAAGTGGCGCCACCAGACTCGGTAAAGTAGACCGTGAGGGTCAGCCCAGGTCTAGCACGTCTCGCTGGAACACTTGTGACGTGAGAAGGTCGTCGCAGGTGATGTTTGCAGGATGAGGAGTCTAACAGCTCATTCTTCTCACAGCGGGATGGGATGAGGTGGTGCTCAGGAGCTCTCTAATCTTGACCAGTTCTCTTGTCTCCAACTTCATCTTTTATTTACCTGTACGCCCACCACGACATCGTTCATTGAGGCAGTATGAGGAACCGAGCATTCCAGCAACCCAGATCGAAGATAGATTTCAGAGTTTTCTAAGCAGCCATTGTTGAACGTCTCTTGGTGGATAAAGAGGATGGATAATTAATCTTCCAACCTCAGTATCATTTGTCAATGTGTGGTTGACCCTACGTTTGGCACAGGGCGCGATTGTCGCTTGATTCCGTTAAATGGAGCTCAATCATCTCTACGGCAAGGCCACCGGACAATCGATGCTTGACTGCACGCATAGCCAGAATTAGAATGGGGATTCCCTGCTCTGCTGAAGTGCTACCGCCAATGAGAGCTCACGACAAGGGACCAGAATGAATGTTTTCTTCTTCGAGGCATCCAATGTGTTCATCCTCCCGCATCGCAGCCTTGTGCTGCTATTCCGATAGGTCCCTTTACGGAATGGCAGGGGGAAATGATACATCCGAATGTATACTACTGTGCTTATCCACCAATGGGGCCGGCACAACGCATCAAAGAATTGAACACGCATACTCCTCTTAATGTGGAAAAGAACATAACAGAAGCTCTAGGGTGAGGCCTCCAATGCAGAATTTACTGTTCCATGCTACAAAAGTTCATTTTACCTACAACACCCCGCATTTTGGAAATGATCGCTTTTGTGATTGGACTAAGAGGCGGCTCGGAGCATGTAGTTGGAGGGGTTCCCAGAGCTCTTTATATATGTGCCTACCCGAGGGAGGAGCCATCAAAACTTGCCAGCGACTCCGTCCTCAAATTACAAGTCTAATTGCTACACCCACTTCTCGTACAGATTTGCGTTGAGATTGTTTCTTCAAGGTTTGGACCTCCAATTTGGCTGTAATGGGGCTCAACAAGAAGAAGAAGAAGGGGAAGAAGGGGGCTGCAACCTCGAGTGACCTTACATCCAGTTAAGCTAACTCTAACCCTGGTAGCAAGTTTATACACGCTGCTGACATGAACCCTACTACTAGAAAATGAAGTAACAGCTGCACAGCTGAATGAGACAGCAAACCCTCTGACTTTGGCTCAATATGCCACTGTCTTTTCCACTGGGGCCCTTTCCCAAGTTAACCTACCTCCTATAGCAAGCTCTTTTGAAACGGAACCTCCTTCTAATTCCGCCTGGAATGGGGTAAATCCTCCTATTGCCTCCAACCCCTATAACACAGAGAGCCCTACGGTCCACGTGGCAGATGGAGGCGACACCTTTATTTCCTCCAGCCCCTACGAAACAGATATTGTTCAAGTTCATGTTGGCCCCATCGGTGGCCAGAGAGCCTTTCATGTCCACTTGGGAATTCTGAATCAGGCTCCATCACTAAGCAGCAAGATAAATCCTACGACTTGTTCTGCCAGAGAACATAATAGTATATCCCTAGTGAACACAGATCCCGGGATTTTCGAGCTCGTCCTAATGTTCCTGTACATCGGAAAGTATCTAGACTGTCCTTATCCACCACTATTATTTCGTTCACTAGAGCGGAATAACGACAATCAATGGCCTGGCGCCGATATGGAGTTCGAAATGCATTCTCTCCTTTACTGCTTTGCCCAGGAGTATAAAATGGACGAGCTCTCTGCCCTTGCACTAATAAGCATTGAAAATATGACACAAGTGCCTTATTTGAATGTACTTGACGTTGCGAAGAAAGCATACCCGGATGCCGACAATGATGACGCGTATCGCGAGAGGTTCCGGCATGAGACGAGAGTTGCGATGAAGGAGAATAAGGATCTCATCAGGAAGCCTTGGGTTCTTGATGTGTTCAGGAATGAACATGGAAATTTGACTGTTGACCTGTTCACAACCTTGACGGAGCCGCTGCGATGCGACAGTGAAGCCAACAATAGCGAGACTTCACCCCCAGAGGAGCCACTCAGATCATCTCAATCTGATAAGGGGAAAGAGGGAAATGTGCATTTGAATGGTGGCAATGCAGATTACTGTACTCAAGAACCAACAGCAGCTTCGGTGGTGGGAGAGCCTGCCCTTCCCGGCCCCGAGGAAACTATCGCCGAAGATATCCCCGAAGTCCCATTTGAACAAGTTCCTGAACCACCGGTCTCAGAACCGGAACCAGAATTAGAATCCGCCAAGGAGCCTGCTGACATCGTTTAGCATGCAGTTGATGACGGGTGGGGACTCTGGGGAGGCGTTGAACTCAGGAGAAGGATGAAGAAGAAGCCCAAGAAAAGCCCGGAGCCCGACCCAGGGCTAGAGCCAGAGGGGGCTCCAGTAGAGGAGTCCCCAGTTGAACCTCATGATTGGTCGGGATGGGGCACGAAGTCGTTGTTGAACCAGGCCCAGAAGCCGGACACGGACCAGCAGACGACCCTACATCCACCAAGAAGAGGCAAGAAAAAGGGTAAGAAGAAAAAGATGATCGAAGCCCCAGGCTCGGAACCACCGCCAGCACCGGAGCCTGAAGTCCACATCGACCGATGCGCTTTTCCCGATGACCTAGCGCCAGACGAGCCTTACCCACCCGACGAACCCCTAGCCATCAACGACCACCACCACCACCACAAACTAGAAGAAGAGCCTCCCCCGCCCCCTTCCCCTCCCCCTGAAACCCTCTGGCCAGCGGACCCAGAGCGCCCCCCAACCCCCGAAAGTCCCGAAAACCCCTCCTGCACCTTCATGCTCGGCGATGCAGATAGCCCGATATCCAAGGCGAGGTATTTCAAGGAACCGTGCAGCCGGCGGAAGCGGCATTTGACCAGCGAGAGTTATTGGATGGATTGTGTTCGGTGTCGGGCGGAGCTGGGGAGTATTGCGAGGGGGATTGTTGCGGGGAAGGGGGGTGGTGATGGTGATTATGATCGGGTTGATGGGGAGAAGGGGGAGGGGGAGGGGGAAGGGAGGTGGAGATGAGGGGGGAAGGGGATGTGAGGTTTAGTTGTCAGATTGTGAAGACTATGATGGGATAATTTCTTGGTTGGCCTATATTGTGACGGCTCTTTTGTTTTGTTTCTACCTCTCGACCTTCCTTTTCTTTTCTTTTTCATCTTAGTTTTTTCTTGTCCAATTGTTATGAATGATGTGGAGGAGCGCGATAATGATAATAATGATAATGATATACGTTCCATCCCCTGTCCCGGAGCGCTGAAGTGAATCAATCATATTCACTTCCTACAACCCCCCATTTCCAAGCTCTTCACACCCAGATCCAGCACCTAAGTAGAATGAATGTACGGAATACCGCCTCCTCAGTTCCAATTCCAACAGTGATATAAACAAGTATATTAGAATATATCTATATGTACATGTACATATCAGGACGGCAACCCAATGTCATCTTAGCACACAACTTGTGTGTGATTCTGGTTGGCTGTTGATTGTGCATGTAGCAAGATCTCTCTCTGATCGATCTGCTTTTGATTATATATTATCTTATCAAAACACTCTGCAGTCTCAGGGATCAGATCTTCTATTTTAAAATTCAAACTCTGGGATGCTGCTGTGTGACTAATATCATCTTAAATAATAATAAGATAACTGGTTCATATGATAGATCTTAATATTCTAGTTAACTTATCATATAGCTAGCATTATTTCAATTAATCGAGCTTTACACCTTTTACATACATGTAAATCAAAGATATTTTCAACATGCGGGGAGATGGAGATGATATAAAGTGGTGGGGAGATTTGGCTTGAAAGTGAAGAGAGAAATAAAAATAAAAAGTTAAAAAGAATAGGAAAATCGTATAATAAAAGTTAGTCTATTAGGCGCTTCAATCAGTCAATCAATCAATTAGTCAATCGGTCTTAAAAAAAAAAAAAAAAAAAGAAAGAAAGAAACATAAAAGCGTTAAACAGAATATGGCCAAGTGCAAAGGGGAATCATCATGCATATATGCAATCAAAATAAACACCGTAACCCACGCGTACAACCAACAGGTAAGTTAGTGGAAAGAACATAACTCCAAAAGGGCAAAAGTAAGAAAAAAAAAAGTGGGAGCGGGGGAGGGAGGAGTAGGAAAAACATCAATATCTCAGCCATTTGAAATCCTCGAACTTCGCATCAAAAACCGATAAAAACATGAGAGAGAAAAGGAAAAAAAGAGTGAACTTGGAAATGTTAAGAGGGCTTAGAGCTGGCCCTTCCAAATAGCACCAAACCTCCTATTAAGTAACTCTTGAATATCCAACGAGCGCCGCGAGGGACTTGGGCTTGATACATCGCCGCTTTCTTCCGCCGCTCGGCCTGCACCTCCTCCTCCTCCATTCACAAAAGCTTGACCATTCCCCAACTCCACCTCCTCCATCTGCACATCAGCACCGTCTCCACCTTTCCCTTTCCCCCGTCCACGCGGCGCGCTCCTCCGATCCAACAACTCCTGCACCTGCATCTCCCTCTCCCTCTCAGCTTCCATGTCCGCAACATCTCCACCGTTCAAATCCGTCATAGTCTCCAGACCAGACTTCTTCCCCCGATCCCACCCCTGCTGCAGCTCCGATGCCGCCGCCTCCTCAAACCGCTTCCGAATCTCCAAATCGCCCTCGAACTCCTGGAAGTGATCGACATCGGTCGGGAACAGCGCGACGCGCAGCGTCGTCACGCATATCTCGAAGAGAAGCACGGCGACCACGGCGAGGAGCAAGGTAACCCACCAGAGCAGGTTGCGCCCGGTGCGAGGCAGGAAGTTGTCGCGGACATTGTAGATGGCATCGAGCGCGTAGCGGCGCGAGAGGATGATGTTCCAGAGGAACCAGCCGCCGATGGACACGATGATGACGATGGCGGCCATGACGGTGCGGTAGCGGATCTCGAGGAATTGGAGTTTTAGGTTGATGATGATCACGCAGGCGGTGTAGGTTAGCAGGCCCATGGCGAAGACGCGGTTGTCGAGGGTGAAGATGGCGCTGCCGAAGAGGCCGTACATGGTGAAGTAGACCACCATGGCTTCGCAGCTGCCCATAAAGGCCCAGCCGAGGTAGAGTTTGACGTTGAAGCCGCCGTTGCGTTGGCCCTTGGTGTACAGTTCGGGGACGGCGAGGAGGGTGGAGGCCGCGAGGTCCTTTTCGAAGATGCCGAGGAAGATGACGGGGAGGGAGGTGAAGAGGGTGTTGAACATGCTGAGGGACCATGATTCGTAGAGACTGGTCCCCGTGTAGCCATTCCAGCGCTGGTACAGGGCTTGCGTGAGGTAGAAGACGGTTTCTTTCCAGAAGGTTCCTAGCGTGTATTTGCAGACACGGATGTAGTTCCAGCGGCCGTGGACGAGGAGGAGCTTGAGCAGGAATCTAAACTGCGCGATTGAGTAGTCTGATATCCTGGCGGCTTGTAGACCCTCCTTGCCGGTAATGCCAATGCCCACGTGCGCCTCCTGAATCATAGCGATATCATTCGCACCATCCCCAATCGCAAGGGTAATGGATCTCTTCACCCGCTTCCGAATCGATCGCACGAGGAACGCCTTCTGCTTCGGACTCGCACGGCAACAAATCACAGAGTCGGCGAGGATGGCAAGATCAAAAAAGAGTTCCTGGAGTGGCGCATCCGCCTCGACGGTCGACAGCGTCTGCCCATCCACCACAATCACAGAATGGGCACAGGCACCCCTCACAATCTCACTCGTTGTCTCCAGGATAACCCGCTCGACGTCCCCGGCATCATGGTCCAAAATCGTCACGGTCGAATAATCCTTCACAAGCCGACACGAATTGCCAATGTTGATCGCAGTCTCCCGCTTATCGCCCGTAAGCATCCAGAGCTTGATATTCGCCCGGCGCAGCTTATCAATAGCCTCCGGAACGCCCTTCTGCAACTTATCCTCAATAGCAGTAGCCCCGCCCAACTCTAGCTGCGTCTCAATCTGCTCGCCCACCTGTTCAATCTTCTCCTGCCGCCCGACCAAACTCGTCGTCGCTTCATGATACCTAGCCTTCCACTCCTGATAATCCGCTTCCTCAATGAAGCGATAGCCATACAACAGCGTCCGCAGCCCTTCCGTCGCAAAGTCATTCAGATGCTGGAAACACCGCTCAAACACCATCGCCTCATTAACCACCAACGACTCCTCAACCAAATCCTCCGCGCCATCGTCCGTCTGGAAGGACGCGCGGTACCGTTCCTCTGAAAGAGCCCCAGACGGCCGCGGGGAGAGTTGCATAGATGGGCGTGGGCTATAATAATAATCATCATCGCCATCTCTCAACACCAGACCGCCATCCGTCTCTCGGTCCCGCAGCCAGACATCGATACTATCCCGCAGCGACGAGCGGCGCTTACCAGACACGCTCGACCGGCGACCAGCCGCGAAGCTAGGACGGCCAATACTCATGCTGGTCTTGCCATCCTTGCGGTGGGCGTGTTCGCTATTGCGCCTCATGACCTCTTTCGCCTCCAGCGATTTCCGCTTGTTAGCGCGGTTTTCGATCTCGGCGACTTTCTCTGCAGCGAGGCCAGATCGTTTCAGCAGGCCCATGACGGTCGAATCAGCGCCCTTGCAGAAGAGACAGATGCGCTGGTCGGGCATACGGACGACGATCGACATGCGTTTCCGCACGCTGGAGAATTCAATGATATCTAGGATTTCATAGACTTCTTCCTCTGCGACAGGCTCTCCGTCTTCGTCCTGCGCGGTCGTTGATAGTCGAATGGTAAGCGAGTTGGGTTGTCTATCCACCACCAGATATCCCATCTCCTTCGCAGCAGTGACCAGCGCAGCCTCATCCGGCGAAGCAGCTTGGAATGAGATATCACCATCATCATCGCGCTCCGGTATGCATGTGTGGCATAGCGCGAGGGCGAGGATGAAGAATTTCGCCTTGCGCGCGAACAGGGTATGCGGTTTCTGCTGTATGTATTCCAACATCTCCACTGTCCGGCCACCGTGATACATTCTACCCCTCCTATTCGACCGCCAGTGCGTCGTTGTCGTCGCCGTCGGTGATGAGTTCTCCTCCTGCCTGTGATTTGACACACCGGACTTCCGCCCAAATGTTACTTGGTCATATGTGGACGATTTCCGTGAGGAAGCCTTCTTCTCCTTGCGTTTCTTATGCAGGAGCATCTTGCGATCCGCGTCTCGGGCTGCTTCCTCTTGTAAATCGGTGTCGTGCAGCCAGGCAGTTCCCGCAACGCTCATTTTGCGGAATTTCATGGAGTTATTCGTCAGCGTGCCGGTTTTATCGGAGAATATGTAGCTGTTGTTATTTAGTTAGCATTTATCTTTAAACGGGATATTCCGAGCGCAGCCCCCTGCGGGAGGGGGAAAAAAATAAACGAAGACAAGGAAGAACATCATCCATACCTAACCTGCCCCAACTCCTCATTAATCGTAGATGTCCTCGCCTCCAACGGTGTATCCGATTCGACATCATACATATCGATATCATTCAGCAAAAAAATCTGCGCAACCTTCACAATCTCCAAACTGACATACAACGAGATGGGAATCATGGTGTTAAACATAATGATAAAAGAAGTGAAGATGGGCCCAATCGAGACGTCTGCTTCCTCCAGATACCACGATTTATCCTCCACGTCGCGCGACCAGAACGTATACGCAATCGTACACGCGGACGCGAGCACGACGACGAACAGCACAATGACGGCCACGACGCGGTTGACCACCGTCTGCAGCGCCGGCGCCTTGATGCGCGGGTTTTTGTTCGCGTTCATGCGTATCTTACACTCCTCGCCGGTATATATCACCATGCCGAAGGCTTCGTGGGTATTGCGCAAGATGCTGCCGCGGTAGATGACTTCCGAGTTGGTGATGGGCAGTTTCTCCTGTCCGACTGTGACATTGCCGTCGAATTTGTAGAGGTCGATGTTGGGGTCTTCGACAGCGAAGTGGATGGATGTGTTGTGGATGATGTCTTCAGCTGTCTTGCATGTTTTCGCGACGGGGCGGCAGGGTTGTTTGCTTTTCAGGTTTGTCTCGCCATCTAGCGCCATGGTTTCGATGTATGCGATTCCGTTCGGGTCGTCGGCATGGAGGAGAACTATATCTGCTGGGGCTGGTTGATCGCGGGACAGTTTGATGACGTCGCCCACTTTGATATCTACCCATTTGGTAGGCGCCCAGTATCCTGCACTATTGGAATATGAATCAGTGTCTGTGGTGGAGGTTATCTTGGCTTCCATGGCATCCGTAGAAGTTGTGCTGGTAGTCTTAGAAGTGGTGGCAGTGGTGGCGGCAGTAGCATTCGAATTTGCATTGCGGGCTCGTAAAATATACGCAATGCGGTTATTCTCCTCCTTATCCAACCGGTAGCGACGGAGATCATCAATCCCTTCCTTCCCCATAGAAATACCAACAAAAATCATAAGCGGAACAAAAGTGGTGAAAGTGCCAGTGGTACTGAGACCGGGTATCATCTGCAAAATTGAAACGACAAGAAAATAGAAATTCGCCAGCTTGGAGAATTGCGCTACGAGTTGGCGGGGGAAGAAACTCCATAGGCTATATCGGCTGGATCGGATATGATTGCTAACGTAGTACTTGCCAGTCCGTTCGTCGATCCGCGGTTCTTGTCTCTGTACATCGAGATCGATATGGCGACCATCCTTGCTAGGTGGGATTTCTTTGATGCGAAGTACGTGCTTTCGGAAAGCGTCTGTAACAACTTTCAATTTGCCCACCGCTAGCTCATGGGTAGCACGAACTTTGCATGCAGCAGCTCGTCCCGCTGAGTACGGCTTCCTTTCCCTTAATTGAGCCTTCAGGTCCGAGAATGTGGTAGATTCTTCGTCCTTGGAACTCGTAGGGAAAACGACTTCCTGGCCTGCCCCATGCTGTATCTGTGGCTGAGAATGGACCCTCGACAGAGGCTCACCGCCCGCCGACAGCTGGTGACGTAATTCAATATTATCCGTCTGGTCATGCTCCGACTGGTTGGCAATGTTCCGGTTAAAAATAGCTCGTCGTAGGGAATAGCCCCGGTTCCGCGTTGCGGGCAAAACGAGAGGAGGGGATTCGTGAAGCGGCGGAAGGGGGTCTGTGGGGGAAACGGGGGAAACTGGAGATATCCACTGGCCGCTACTCCGCAGTGACGGGCTTCTTTGTTTCGAAATGACACTGGGCAAGGATGTGTCCACTCTAAGGCCCAAACCCGCAGCACGCCCGCTACCACCACCAACATCCCTCCCAGCGCTGTCCTGCGATTCCTCACACCTGGGACTTGGAGGAATTGTGTTATCGGGCGTGCGCTCTAGATCCACCGAAAAGCGCACTCGAGCCTGAGACGGCCTCCTTGTATCCTGGGAAGAAGCGCGATCTGTAGTGTCGGTATGTGTACTTGCACCGATATCTCCCGCATCTCCAGTCGTCCGTCCTCCTCCAGCATCCTGAAGCAGAACCGTCCCATCCTCCTCTCTATCCGCACCACCCTCTCTCAAAATACTGTCTCTCAACGGCGATCTCGATGAAGCCCGGCGAGGCAGTCGGGGCGAGTCCAACCTTCCAAGTCCGGGGTTATTTCCATCGCGCCCCGCCATCGGGTTGACGCCCAGCTATGATACAGTGTACCGGCTTCCTCCGCCAATATAAAGAATCTCCGCTAGCAGGCTTATATATATATATGTAAGTATATACGTATATAATGCACGTCCGTCTCTTATATCTTTAGCAGTAGCCCGGAACCAGCCCTGGAACGTAAAATGGACGGGCGGATCGGATGAAAAAGCAGTAGGTAATTAAGCGGGGTGTGAGACGACTTGCGATGGATAATTTAATTGAATATACCAAGGACAAAACGTGTAAAGGCGGTAGCTAGGGAGAAGTTGAGCGGAGTTAGAATCATCGTTGGAAGTGGCGCATTTGGTTGGTGGGCGGGCGGGGAGAAGGATATTGAGGAACCAGTGGACGTAGCGACTTCCGGTAAAATCGGTTTGGCAGTGGACAGTCCTGTGCTGTACAAGAGGGATGATAAACTTCAAATTTACAATAGAAAAAGGCAAGTAGCTGTTACTCTTAGAGGGGTGTCGTATATACAGAAAAAGGAAGAAGGCATGGTGGTAGTGGAGGGTGTGAAGATGGTTCGAGTCTGGGACAAAATGATAACTAGTTATAGTTAAAAATGGCCGTGCGGAATAAACAGCGTAGTGGAGTGGAGTGAACTAAAAGTTAGTTACATGTACTACGGCAGCCTATAGTGACATTTGAGTCAAATGACTTTTTTCATGTTTTTCTGCTGTAAGTACTTAATTCCACTTATAGACACTCATCAATAGAAATTTATATAAAAGTTTGCCTATAAGCAAGAAATATCTCATTTTCATTCTAATTAATTACAAGTATTAAATGTTCATTTACACTTGCTTTGCTGCTTGTATAACTCTCTCTATTAATTTCACTCTCTATCTTTACTTTCTCTTATTATCTTCTTCACTTCTTTCATCTTCTCTACTATTATTACTATATCTATCACTATAATTAATAAAGTAATTAGTATATTTTAAAATATATAACTACTTACAAAGTTTATTTTTTACCACTCTGTACTCTGTATATTTTTAATTAATAAGCTCTGTTTAATTACAAATTGAATGAATATGATTGATGCGTGTACATGGTAACACTAGTATAAAATACTCAAAAATACACATTTGACTCAAATGTCAATATAGGCTGCCGTAGATACAGAGTAACTACATGTACTGATACATACAGAGGCAGAGAAAGAAAAGATTTATATAATTACATCTACTTATTAACAATTAATATTAATGATTGAGTATGTCTTATTATAAACTTAATATTATTATTACTTTTCATTAACAATATAACTTTAATATTCTTAATATATTAAAATTACTTTCTTTATTTATAAAAAGAATTTAATTATCTGTATCTCTGATACTTATTAATAGATTTACTTATTAACTATTTAAAATCTCTTTATCTGTATTATATTATTATTTAATAAATTATCTCTGTATATATACAATACTAATAATTAATCTATTGTTAATTCTTTTGAATATTATCTATTAAGCTTTAATTTATTAATTTATATTCTTAATTATTATTATACTTTCTACATTATCAAGTGTTTGAATAATTAAAAATAGTCTTTTTGAAAAAAAAACTTGATGATTTTATACTTTAATTATCATTTTAAAAGCATATTGAGATAATGAAAAGTTACTATATAACTGACTTACTTATTATAATGAATATATTACTTATGAAAATAGAATTTTCTCAGTCTTCTCTGAAAATTAGTAGTAAAACACTATTAAAAAATCAAAATATCTGTATTTCTCTAGAATTATTTAATATTATTCAATACATATTTTTTTCAATTAAATATTATTCAAATATGTGTCTTTCTTATCTTTATTATTAATATGTTATCTCAACTCTGTGATTTTATCATTAATAAGATTATATATTTTCTTAAGAATAATTATATATCTGCTGAAATTATATGAAGTATTGATTATTATCTATATATATTAAATTCAATGAAATCTTCACTGTTTTGAAACTGCTAGAGAACTCTGTTCAATATATGATATAAAGTCAAAGATTATATCAGATATCTCTTCAATTCTGAAGAGATTTAATGAAGATTTTGAAGCTTTTTTATATTATACAGTTGAGAACTTTATAAGAGAAAAAGATATAAAAGAATATTTCAGATTTACTTATATAGAATAGTATTATAATAATTAGAAAGATTCAGATTATAATTCATTATAATATAAATTTAGAAGTGAAAGTAGTATGAGATCTATTCTCATCACTATAAATAGTGAATAAAGATGATTTAAATTTCTGCAATTTTATCTGTTATAATGAACTTTTTAATTCATCTCTTATAATTTGAAATATACTCTTGTCAATATTCATATGAAGCAACTGTTCCCTTGTCAATCAATTGAAGTATTCATCAAATTGAGGTATTGAACTACTTTGAATTGGAGATGAAACAGCGGATTCAATGAAAGATTCAACGGCGGATTCGATGGAAGATTTCAACAGTGGATTCAATGGAAGATTCAACAGTGTATTTGATGAAAGATTCAACAGCGGATTCGATGGAAGATTCAACGGTGGATTCGATGGAAGATTTCAACAGTGTATTCGATGGAAGATTCAACGGCGGATTCGATGGAAGATTTCAACAGTGTATTCGATGGAAGATTCAACGGCGGATTCGATGGAAGATTTCAACAGTGGATTCAATGGAAGATTCAACAGTGTATTTGATGGAAGATTCAACAGCGGATTCGATGGAAGATTCAACGGTGGATTCGATGGAAGATTTCAACAGTGTATTCGATGGAAGATTCAACGGCGGATTCGATGGAAGATTTCAACAGTGTATTCGATGGAAGATTCAACGGCGGATTCGATGGAAGATTTCAACAGTGTATTCGATGGAAGATTCAACGGTGGATTCGATGGAAGATTTCAACAGTGTATTCAATGGAAGATTCAACGGTGGATTCGATGGAAGATTTCAACAGTGTATTCGATGGAAGATTCAACGGTGGATTCGATGGAAGATTTCAACAGTGTATTCAATGGAAGATTCAACAGTGGATTTGATGGAAGATTCAACAGCAGATCTGGATGTGAATGATAATGAGATTGTGAATTCAGTTCTTCTATTCCTTTCATCATATATTTCATCATCATCACATTGATTATCTTACTTGAGAATGTCATATTGAATGAAGTTGAAACTGTCAGAGCTGAAGAAGAGAATATAATCACTGACATTTGAGAGATCTGTATAGAAGAATTGATTGTAGAAATTATAGATTCATTCTTCTGATTCTTCTTCTTCTTTCTACTCATTAATCATTTTATCATCTCTCTTATTCTTTATCTCATTGATAATCACCTGTTCATACAATCTGTATGAGATATCAGACTCAGATGTAGAGATTCATGAATATCAAGAATTCTCAGACTGAGTCTCTATATTCTTCTCATCCACCTGCTCCTTCATCTCATCATTGACTGGATCCTCTCCATTATCCAGAACTTCTGGAACAGGTAGTTTGAGGAGACTGAGGTGCAGGATAGAAGTCTTTGTACAGGCTTGTGAAGCAGCAGGACGGCGGGTGTTGCGAGACATATTGAAAAAAGGGTTGATTGATATATGTGGATTTGATGATAAAGATAAGAAAGACGCATATTTGAATGATATTTGATTGAAAAAGATGTGTATTGGATGATATTGAATGATTCTAGAGAAATGCAGATATTTTGATTTTTTGGTGGTGTTTTGCTACTAATTTTCAGGGGGGGCTGGGAAAATTCTGTTTTTGCAAGTAATATGTCCGCCACAATATAACTTATGCTTTTTCCTGTGAAAGCTTCCTTTTATCTAAACCTCGGGCGGGGGTCAACCTTAAGGATACAGGCACAGAACTACTGCTGGGGACTATGCACATACGAAGACGAAGGCGAGGAGGGAGAGGCAATCTGGGTGAGGGCTCTGTTGATCTCTTCTTCGCCTTCAGGAGTTTTGCGCCCTTGATGGTGAGAAAAATGAGGTTAAGGTTAACTAGCCAACCCTGATAAATGCGTGGTAACAAGTGTCAGATTTCATACTTACAGGGTGGATATAACATTAAATAAAAATAAGAATGTAACTTATCTGATTTAACATGTGCTGACCCCTGATCATTTTCATAGTACTGTACATGTACTGTACATGCTGCTGCCGGTTTTCCACATCGGACTCCGATGCGGACACCGACAGGACAGAGAGCCTTCTTCTCATTCTCATCCTCAATCTCTCTGCTAACCATCCTGACACAACACAAGAGGAGACAAGACAGGATACCAATTTAGATCAACTGGATCTGACTATCTCTATCAATACCCAGCATAACCCTCGTCATTCCCATGTCATCGATACCAAGAGTCTCAGACATGCGTCTGTCTCGAGCTTCGGAGTTGCAAGTTTGCCAGCACAGCCTCAAGCATTGCCCTGCCTTTGCCCTTGCCCCTGGACCCACCACGCGAATCCAGATACGAGCTCCCTTCCACACAAGGCTCCAAGGTTGCAGCATCAGAGACCTCCAGTAATAGTGGATAACACACCCAGGTTTTAAGGATGGTTCAGGAGTGCGATGCTTAAAAGTTCGCTAGTCATTTAGGCGTCAAATCGCTGTCACTTGTACATGTACAGTACAACACATTCTGCAGCATAGAGGTTTTCATCTAGGTATCAACGATGTGCCAGGCTTTTTAAGAAGGTTTTATACAGATAATATCGACTATGTCAAATCAGAAAAAGTGAATTAGAAAATTCAGTGTCACTAAGATGGAAATTTTGAATTTTGATGATATTTGATCGTAAATTGATACATTCAGAGAAAGTATCAGAGGAGTTCATCACTGCATTATTAAACACATACAAAAAAAAAAAAAAAAAAAAAAAAAAAAAAAAAAAAAAGAAAAGAAACATATCATGAGAAGAGACCCATCATAACATGGCCCAAAAGGCACAAACACACAAACAACTCAAGGCAAGAGCCCATTTTCATCAATCTCTTATAGAAATTTGAAGGGAAACACGCAAGCTAACTAACTACCCCCCTTTCACCTCCTTGCCCCTAATACCGCGGCGGCGCACCTCCACCGCCATAACCCCCCTGCGGCGGATACCCACCCTGCCCGTACCCTCCATGCTGCGGCGGCTGCTGACCATAACCCCCCTGCTGCGGCGGTGGCTGTTGGCCATACCCTCCCTGCTGTGGTGGCGGCTGCTGCTGCTGTCCGTAGCCGCCATATCCGCCCTGTTGCGGGGGCGGCGGGGCGCCTCCGGCTCCTGGGTATCCGCCGTAGGGCGGTTGTTGGCCCTGTGGGGGCGGAGTGCCGTATTGGCCTGGGGGTGCGCCGTATTGGGATTGTGGGGGCATGGGGGGGTGGCCACCGGCGGAGGGGCGATTGGATTTCTCGTCTTTGGTGTCGTAGGAGGAGTCGATGGCGCCGAGGATCATTTTTGTGAGCTGTTTTTAATTGGGAAGGGGTGGGGTTAGTTGGTTGGGTTACTTGGGGCGGGGGTTTTTTTTATATCTGTATAAATGTTGGATTGGTTGGGTAAGGGGGGGAGGGGAATTACTTACCCATAGTTCTGGGGTTAGGTCAACTGGAGGGTTGGCGCGGGACATTTCATCTTGCTCGACTTCAAAGTCTGTTTTTTTAAATAAAATAAAAATTACCCATTGTTAGCAAACGATGTTGATTTAAGCTTTCGAATGGGATTGGGTTTAGATATTGTCTTTAGTTAACACGTACTGGATGTGCAGTCAATGAGTTCACCAATACCAGGCTCCTCGTCGAGTTTGCTTAGGAATTCGCGCGCTTTCAAGTCATTCCCAACCTGCGCAAACTGGAAGGAAATAGCGCCAGGTCCATACTGCGGGAGTGCTCTCAGTTCGGAGCTCGCGAATCGAATAGCATCGGATACGGCGCCATGCCTTTCTCCAGCAGGCTGTCCATCGGTGATGGTAATGACCAAGACGGGTTTCTTCAGCTGACCAGCTTTGGCGGGCGCGATCACCAACGGCTCCAAGACCTTAGCCCTCAAGCTGGATCCCATTGGAGTCAGGCCGGAGAACTTAATGGTACTGATGAGGTGTTCGATCTGCTGTTCATTGCGGATGTTATCTCCCTGTAAGTCAGAGTTCATGAAGCGAATCTGGATGCCGTCGTCGTCAAATAGCGTTGCGGCATAGGTGACGCGGCTGAGGATCAATTTGAGATCCTTGATGCGCTCGCCCCCTTCTTCAAACTGCATGGAGCCGCTGTCATCGATAAAGAGAATGACATCGAACAGGGCGAGTTTGAGGATATCCTGCCCCACTTCACGCGGGACACGCCATGTGGCGCAGAGCTGATCAATCTGCGTGGTAACTCGAGAAGCAATTTGATCGAGGACAGGCGAATTGGGTGGGTACATTGCATGAAGATTCTTTTCCTGAATAGTACTCATGAGGATTTGCTTATAGGCGGCAATCACATGGGGTCCAGCTTGGGGAGGCGGGGCGCCATATTGTGGAGCTCCCTGGGGAGGATGCCCCTGAGGGGGATAACCTGGCGCCGCCTGGGGAGGATATTGCCCTGGTCGCTGTCCCTAATTATAATGATAATAGGTTAGCATCGTCTCATTAAATAATAATAATAATAATCATAATAATAATAATAATAAATGACATAAATAAACTTGAATAATTCGCAAATAATAAAACAGCAAAGATAAATAGTACACAGGCATAGGAAATCGACGAACGTATGGGGCTTGGCTCTGTGGGTAGGGTTGCTGCTGTTGTTGAGGATACTGCTGGTTGTAGGATTGGCCATAAGGGGTTTGTTGCGGAGGCACTCCATAAGGCTGCTGTTGTTGCTGCTGTCCATAGGTAGGCTGTTGATATGGCTGTTGGTATGGCGAATGAGGTGGTATTGGTGATATACTAGGTTGGTGGGGTTGTTGAGGGTTCTGATATGGCGATGGGGAAGCAGGGTGAGGAGATCCCTGGTAGCCTGGAGCTGGAGAAGGAGTCGAAGTTATCCCTGGTCGTCCATATTGATGTTGGTATTGTTGTTGTGGCGGTGGTGGTGGTGGTTGAGACGACGTGGGGTAAGGGGGTTGTTGCGGCGGGTTCGTGTAGGGCTGTCCAGGATACTGTTGTTGGCTAAACGGACGATGCATGGTAACGGGGAAGCAAAGAACGGGAGAATTCAAAAAGCGGCTCGTTTCCAGGTGAGATTTATTTGTTGAAAGGAAGGCCGATGGGCAACAGTAGACAGAAAAGGACAAAGATGGGAAGCAGATGAAGAACAACAACACGAGATGACGATGATGTAGTTGAGAGGAAGCAAAACAATATTGGGCAGGATTTTATTTTTCGTTTTCTTCTTTTTTAACTTATCAAAGCAACAGGAAAACTAGCGCGGGGTGGGTGTTGGCGACTGGTAGAGAACTGTGATTTGCTTACCGCGGGAGGTGGAGTTGGTGTCGGGCCCGGATACGCCTGGTATTGCTGGGTCTGTCCAGGCTGCAACGGAATATGGCCAGTCAGTCAGCGTCAGAAACTCTCGTACACAGCCAGCCCATGACATCAGTCAGAAGCTTCCACTTCGCCACAGCATATGATATGATATGATATGATAATTTGCTATGTTCATGGGCAGTACTTACATATGCGCCTGGTTGACCCGGTCTAGGCGCACCTCCAGCGGGCGGAGGAACACCTGGATATCCTGACCGCGGGGGAGCACCTCCAGCCTGTTGGGCCGCAGCCATCTTTGAAGCGAGCTATATAATCCATCAAGGTTGTCAGTGTCCATTTCGATGCCGCGTGCAGTTGAAGGAGAGGACGATCAAAGTGTAGACAGGAAAACTTCCACGGGTCGCAAAAAGTCACGGAGGGGTAATGGGTAATGGCGGGGTACGATCTTTAGGAACATTCCAGGGGCATGAACTTACACCCATGTTGAAGTCTGGGAGAGTCGAAAGTCAGTCCTAGAAACGAGAGGAAATGGAGAGCGCGAGGTTTACAGAATGGTATATGGATGGGGGAGAGGAATAGAGGGAGAAAAGCAGGGAATGGGGCAAAGGAGGGAGAGACAGAGCGTGTTAAATATATAAAAAGAAGACTGGCTGGGCTGGGAGGATATTCCGGCGAGAGCCCAAGCGTGACATTGATAATACGTGTTTTACCGTAAATAATAATCATATAACTTTATATCTACAAACAAGATTCTTCGAACAGACAGTCCTTGAACGGGGTATCACCACGTGGGGATGGGATAGTAACATCTGATATGTACTGTATATTTCTCTGTTCAGCCGCACCATATTGCAAACACCACTAACAACAGCCCGTAGCCCATGATGTCCCCCAGGATCTGCCTGTCCCCAACGTATACAGCACAGTATAATCCAATCTGTCATTCATCAGAGGAAATACGCTGCATAGCCACAGCGTGCACAAGCCACATTAGTTATGTCATTGCCGTACTAACGAACTTGTTGGCGGGGTTCTGCACCGCCCCATTGTTGAGCCTATCAACAGGGAGATATACATTTCTTTCTTTTCACAACGACAACAACAACAACAACAACAAAGGAGCAAATGACACACTCATGTGCTGCATGGTGTCTGGAGTTGTTGCTGTTGCAGTTGTTTTGCAGAACGCGTTAACTCCCCAGGTAACTATTATATAGCTGGTTGGTGGATTCTACTTTCAAGGCTGACTTTATTGTTGAGTATTCCTGGGGTTTTGCATTCCCATATTTCACATATTAAGAGAGTGCGGATGCAGTAGATTATGTCAACTGAAAGAATAAGAAATCTCAGCTGCACTCATCCATTTATTATTCCAGAATGAAAAGGTATGATGAGAAACTCACCTAGAAGAAAATATGTCATCTTTCCATGCACAACTCTTCCAAAACTGGGATACTTGTTTTGGTGCATTCTTAGTCTCTGTCAAAGAAATGCAGGAAGATGAATACTAAAAACCAAGTGAATCAAACAAGCATAAACACAGCAGTCTTTATTTTATCTTATCAGCAGCATCAGGTTGCTACCCAGCCACAAGCTAACATGCATAAGATTTCGGCAACCCGAGAATATTCGCGAATCAGCCGATCCTTGCCTGATTAGACCCCCTGTGCTTACGGCCAGCATTTGGCCCTCACTGACAATGTATAAGAAAACTAATTTAACGTCCTACATATGTCGATGTAAACCTTCCTTTATTGGTAACCTTCCCTCTATATCTCTACATACATTGTCAAGCCGGGCTATCTGGGGGTTTAATAATAATAGTACAGATATGCAACAACCGTGTATGGCTTCTGCGGGGGTGGAAACAAAATCGCGAGCGTGTCAACTGCACATCAACGAACAAGCAACGACATCGACATTCACCATATCCCCACAGAACCCCATTGTGAAGTGGTGTATGAACCGAGTTAGTACGTTATGTTTTAAACACTTTCGGTGCCAAAATATCGCGATGTGCACCTTGAACGAAGCATTGCGAAACCACGACTATGAGGAATGTACGGGGCCCTGGGCTACAACCTCCTTGTCAGGGGAGGGAATGCACAACTTCTAATGTTTGAACCGCTACCGTTACTCACTGCAAGAGCAGGCACAAACCTCTCAAATACAGCTGATAACTATATTGGTTTCCCACAGGAGAAAAATCAGGGGACACTTGGAAGCAACCCCCGCGACGTCAAAAGTTTTAAGGCAGAAAGGCTCTGGGACAAGTTGGCAATCTTCCTCCGTCCGGTCTTCTCTGATAAATGGGGGCTTGTTGAAGACAATGCCCCTACCTGTAGGGAAACAGGCTCCTGGGCGGGGTTGGTAATGGGCAGAGGGAAGTACTTTGGCTCACAACTAACCATCTTTTTACCCTCATCAGAGCAGATTTCTGGGCATTTTTTCTGTCATTAAGCATATTATGTTAGTAACTATGCGTTTCTGCTTATTCCCCTGCCGCCCGTAGTTGTAGCTGGGGGTGAGAAGGGTTGACATTTGTTTGACTAGTTGCCTGTTGGTGATTGGGGGCTGGAGGGTGAATAGATATGCTATACATAGAGAGCTATAGATTTGGGCTTTATGGGATAGTTCAGATATGAAGCTATAGGAAGAAGTAATTGCATTCTTGAAAATTACTCCTGGTTTTCCCTTGTCTAGGAAATATTACAATTCGTTTCCCCGTTCTACTGGCTCTAGGTTGCCAGTGGGAAAAACTGGCAGGGGAGGCAGAGGACGACATCAACAAGCCAACCGGCGACTAGCGAAACGTAGAAGATATATATATAGACATGAAGTATCTAGATACACCATTCGTCCATCTAAAACAAATGAGATAACAAGGAAATAATAACATAAATCCAAAAGCAAAGCAACGGTCATCACTTCTTTCCCTTCCCCTTTTTCTTCTTCTGATTCCCTCCACCCTGACCCTTCGCCTGGATAACAGGCGTAGAAGCAGCCGACTCCTCGCTCTTTTCATTTACGACACCACCCTGCGTACGCTCCGCGGCTCTCTGCTTCCCCTTCTTCCCCTTCGGCCGATAACTGGAGCGATCACGCAATGGTAACCAGCGCTCTGGATCTGGCTTTTTGTTAGGATCGTAGTCCTTGGGTAACCGTGATTTGCGGACTCGTTTCTTCGTAGCCTCTTTCTTGTTAGCATCGTCAGCTGCCGGGCGCTTACGACTACTTGCTCCCGTGGCGGGAGCAGAAGCCGTTGGTAATATGGTGGAAGTTGTGGTGGAGGGGATTCCAGCGGCTTCCAGGGAGGAAACGTCGATGTCGGCAATTAGATCTTGGACGGGTGAAAGTTTATCTACGGCGGAGCTAACTTTATCAGGTGACGTTATGGCGTACGAAGAAACGTAGCCTGCGGTTGCAAATTGGTCATTTGGATGGGCGGTATGGAGTTCTGTGAATATTTTCCCTGCCAGGGCAAGGTCTGTGGGCTCACCGGATGTGAGGAGCGAGGAGCCCGCGGCGCGAAGGAGAGCGGGAGATTTGTCAGAACGCGATTGCCAGTGTGATGCGGCTTTGGAGAGTCTGTCTTTATGTGGCTTTTGCGCCCTTGGATTTTATATAGGGAAACTAGGATGCCGATGAGGCCTGGGTTGAATCGGATGTCTTTATCTGACTCTGATATCGATTGGTCAAGACGCTTGAAGAACGCTTCTAGGACAGAGATGGCAGAGTTAACGTTTCTAGCTGAAACGTATAATTGGATGAGAGTGAGGACAAGACCAATGTCATTCGGTCTTTTCGCTAGAAGAGGAAGTACTTCTTTGAGACCAGCTTTACCTGATCCGTCTCGGGCGTGAGAGGCAATGTTGAAAACGGAGAGGGCGTTGATGTCAGGCGATGTGGTAGGGGCAGGGTGTTGGGAGAGAGCCTTTTCCGTCGATCTTTGTATGCCTTCGAATTTGCGGACGAGAAGATCTACCACAAAAGAGTTCCCGGTCAAGGGTCGACTTTGAAACGAAAATAATCTATCGCCGTCTATTGACGTTGGGATTTGATGGAATTGTTTGTGTAGTATATATGGATTTGATTGAGCTTGGGAGGCAAGAAGGATGTTATTTTGCGCGATTTTTTTGGTTGAAATCTCAGGGATTCTGTTGGAAATGTTAATATCTATGGTCAAGTCTGTAGTACAGGGGTAATACATACTCAGCTATGTTGATTTCGTCTGCCAGACTTTTAGCTTCGTCGGATTTTCCTTGCTTTAGCGCGATATATAATTGCTGAACTGCAATAGGGAGAAGCTCTGCCACTTTATCTTTAGGTGTAAGATCCTCGGACGATTTACAAAGTTCTGCGGTTTGATCTGTTAGAGATTTGTTCGGAGGTCGCAAGGGAAAGCAAAGAAATGCTAACCCTTTGCTCGTCTCAATAGTACTTCTCCTGTCTCTAGTTCTCCTCTCCCTATAGCGCCGCATGCCACATTATAAGTCGTTTCGAAAGATTCGAGCTCTTCCCGACTTGGTCTTGTATTGTCCACCTGACTGGCCAGTCCAGACCACTGGAGCTGTGCGTCCGCAGCTCGTGAATTGATTCGCAGGTCATTTTTCTCCCCGACAAACGCTGGATTCTCTGTAGATAGCTCTTTATAAACTTCTGCGGTGCGACGAAAGTTTTCCGCACGATATGTCTGAAAACTATGAGCGACCCTTCAGTGGAAGCAGTGTGCGGAGTTCGAACAACTTTCACGTACCGCTTGGGCTTCAACATGTTTCCCCCCTCTCCCGGTCCCGGCACTCGCGGCCAGTTTTATCGCATCTTCTAATTGCCCGACCTTATATAAAGCGTAAGACCATTCCAGAGGGACTTTCTTTTTCAGCGCATCCCCGCCATCCTCGATCACTCGAATCGCATCTTCGAAACGGTCCAATTTGACCAGGGCAACAGTTTTTACATGGAGGGCATTGAGATCGTTTTTGGACGTTTTCAGTACCGCATTGCAAGCTTTGATGACTTCTTCATGGTCGTCGATTGTGCTTCGCTGAACCAACGCACTGATGCTCTGGGTCGCCATACGGAGAAGTTCAAGGGCTGTTCAGGCGCCGCACTGGCTCCCGAAAAGGATTGTTTAAAGAAATAAAAAAGAAGGAAGGTTGGCGAATAATTTTAAAATCTCCCGACACGATCTTAAAATTGTAATGTATGTAAATAACTTCCGTTTGGTTCAGCAGTGTTCGCTTGAACTCCCCGCTGATGAATTTCGTCAACAAATTGGAGTTCAAATCACGTGATATTTAAATGACCGCATCGGGCAAGCTCTGCGAACATCCTTGGATCATCAACCTTCATTTTGACTCCCATAATCTCGCTCCTATATACGAATTCGTCCGAGGAATATACAGGCATGGAAAGCGTACGGTGGATGAATGCCATACTGATTAAGGCTTGTCATAATATTCATTTCAGCCTTTACTTTGAAATCACACTCGACTTTACTAAAAAATAAGTAAGGCCATTTTCCTCTCAAGTATCCCCATAAATTATTCTGTGGAACAAAAATGTTGTCATTAGTATCGACAAGAGTGGGCTCAACTACCTCAATTGAACTGGAATATCCCCTTTCATAAACTGAACAGTTGGTCTTATCAAACCGAAGGGAGCGGCGCGGAAAATTCTGCCCTATCACCATTTATCCGCCTTTTCTGGAGGTCGACCATATTATCTGCCCGGGCAAGGGTGAGGCTGTTTTAAATAGCATGCGTTAGGGGAAAATCGAAATGGTTGTTCTACCTCGCCTAACAGGAATTCTGAAATGCATGTATATCTCTTTCAGCTAGTTCGAGAACACCTACTGGCGTCCGAGAATCCCACCCCTGAGAGACGAACGCTGTGCAGAACAACTCAGATTTCTTCAACTCTGACGGACGGTGGACCATACACCGTAGCGTCGTCTGGGATTGCCTTTGCGAATCTCTTGTCTCTGCCAGTCCATTCTGCATTATCGCATGGAATGGGTATGTGGGCATTCTTCATATACACTAGGACTAGCACGGGTCAAGTTATTTATATCAAGTGAATTAAGCGTCTATTTGGGTCAGGGTATGACTATTTTTTGGAACAGTGTGGCCAAATTCGACCAGAAGAATGATCGCACTCATGAGTGTGTACTCACTTCGTCATGACCGCCTAGCTATCAATTTTCGAACTAGAGAAATCATTTTGCTATCTACTCATCTCAACATTCTCCTGAATAACAATGTTGACTTTAACGTCCAGTTACTGGAGAAAGAACATGCGCACAAACTCAACACGCATGCGTGCAAACTCTCTTCATAGCCATCCCAATCCCCCACACACATTAAGGCCTACGTCCGCGATCCAACATTAAGTGCAACATCTTGCATGCCGTGCAATTTACTCCCCTCGGAGAAATCGTCCTGGGCCAGGTCGAAATATCCCTCGGCGCAATCCTCTTTGGATACAACCGCAAGTGACCGACCATTCACGGCAGTGTCGGAGGCGATTCTCAAGACTGCCTTACAGGCATCATCTTCTGAGGCGAATTTCACGCCCTTTGATTTAAAGAAGGCGATTATTTCTTTGGTGTAGGCCGGGGTTATGACGTAGCTTCAGTCTCCATTAGCACGCTGAAAAAAGAAGTGGAGATCTAAATGGGTCGTTGTTGCCATATCCATGTCCATATATAGTTAATTCTTAAAATGGCTACATACCCTGGTGCAACTAGATTGACACGAATCGAATCAACCCAAGCGTTCCTTCGAAGGGAGAGCATCAGTGCTCTCACACCAAACTTTGACATGGAGTATGTCGCAGAACTCGGTATGCCGAGGTAACCAGCAATACTACCTATCAAAATCAAACATCTGTCTCGAGTCGACCCAAGGGGTTGGCGTCGGAAGTAGTAAATGGCGAGTTTTGTTGTGAACATTGTTCCCGTAAGGTTGATATCAAAGATAGTGGTGTCTGGCTTGGTAAGTGGAAGGGAAGGGTCTGCAAGTTGCAGTCATTAATCTGCAGAACCACGCACGTAGCTACACGGTATTCGCGACTGCAATATCCATGTAGAGAAATACTTGTTAACCTTACCAGGCAACAATCTCTTAAGTCCAATAAGGAATCAACAGTGTCTAATAACAATAAGATTGCAATGAATATAAATAAACTAAAATCGATTCTAAACATGTACTCATTCCAACGCGTGGAAAAGCAATGCCCCGGAGGATGCATTAGCATATGAGCCAAAACACCAAAGGGAAGCCGGCTACTCATGCTGTCATTCTCAAAAGGAATGAAACATATTTGCAAGAACCATTCATTCCACTGTATCCATGAATAACACACATACGTATATATATATATATATGTATTCCTAGGCATAATATTCCTAGGTATAACTATAGAAGTCGAAGTTGGTGTCCATTATCTGCACACAGAATTAGTTAGGGCAAGAGCGACCAGGTGACCGTGGGTTGTTGACAACCCCTGAGTTCCATCTCACGCCTTGCAAAACGCAAAGAGTCAGCGCTCTTCTAGAAAAAGCATGATATTGTGACAACTATTCATCGAGGACTAAGCGGTCGAATGACGTGAAGCATGTGCGTGTCCTTATGAGAGAAAAGAAGTCGGAAAAGCTAATTTCCAGGTGGACACTCCTCGTGCGGATTTACAAAATCCCAACTTTTCAAAGATTCCACATGCACAGAGTCCCCCTTCATTTATTATCCCAAAAGGTCAACCTCGTCACTTCGGAAAAGACTCCAGCTGAGAAATGCATGGTAGTCGCATGGAGGATGCATAGTCGCATGGAGGATGCATACTCATTCGTCCTTGGCGTCTGAGTGACGATCTGTCCGAGCGAGCGTTTCATCGCGTAATTGTCAGAGTGAACCATCATCCAGAGAAGGGTAACAGATATTGCCAGCGCGGTTTCCCACGGATGTTCAGCAATCCCATAAGCACAGGCACAAGAATATGTATGGCAACTCAAGTCACTGCCTACCGAGCCTCCATATATCACGACCTCCTTTCTTGAGCATGAGCAACATATTTCTCCGGATGGCCAGTTTGTCCACAGTCAGAGAACTGGTGGGACCGACAATACACGGTGACTTCATCACCACTGCACCTCGCTCCACTCCACAACCAAGCCCCCAGTGACACATCATCCGACTGAAACGACTCCATTATTCCAGCTTCAAAGGGCGTGGGATTACGGCACGTGGAATGATTTGGAACATTCCTGAATCTGTGGGACCCTGTGTCCACCAAGGTTGTATAGACCCTTGTCTAGTCCGGTGGGTTCTTGATTGACAGGTTCTCAAAACATCCGTGGACTTCCTGCACCATTGACATGCTTGCGCTTAATCATGACTGATCCGGCTTGAGCAATCGCATTGGAATCGAGAGTTTACCGAGCATTGGCCCCTCCTCTCAGGGTGCTGGCATAAATTTCGCATCACCGAGAGCAATTCGGGTAATTTGTACTGGGTTCAATTGAATACTACCATTCGCAGGGTGCCATCGGCACAATGGGTCAGAAACTGAAAAGCACTCTGCGCGACAAGGGTATCAAAAGCGGGAAAAAATGAGGGAAATCATTCATGGATGATGAGTTGAACATGTTTAGTGCTTCACATGAACATTGCATCAGTGCCCTAATTGCTGTTTCAAGTGGTTTGACTTTCCGTTAGGCACAGGGGCAAGAGGGACGAGTAAACTTCCCTGGATTTGTTCCTGAACCATAAAAAGGCGCTGGGATATTTTGAGACACGGGAAACCCCGCCACTTCGCTTCACGATCCATGGGTTGAAAAATGTTGTAAAATGTCGCAGGCAAATACTGAGGAGGCTGGCAGACTTGAAGTTGATGAGCGTTAAGGACCCTTTCGTCTGCGGCAGCTGTTAGTAATCCTTTGAAAAATTGTGTGACCACGCTCAGTTAAGCTTCCAGACAAAATTGCTCAAGATAATATTACTATGGGGAAACTGCCAATCATCATCGTTCTTTTCATCGTGGGGCTGCCTTGCATATCAACTCGAGTTCCAAAACAGGGGAATAGTCAAGATCTTCGGCCCAAGATTCCCCTCAAATTTCGAGAGGAAAAGCAGTTTGTATGGACACATTCTGCAAATTTGCCGACACTTTTCTGCTTTCTAGAACTTAGAAGAAATAATGATCAAAAGTTCAACAACAGTGAGTTTAGTTCGGCAGTTCAACTCGTTTTATCTCGAGTCTCGGTTAATACAAGATGGGTCATATAAATAATAATTTCACACTGCTGCACCACCCTGGAAAAGAAAAAACTTCACTCGCCTACAAGAACCTAGGATTCTCCCGGATGTTCTACCCGACCTTTCGCAAAATGGGCCCAACAACCATTATTGGAAAATGGCCTCAGCCAGCTGGGGGCCTCGACTGGACTGGCAAGACAAGACAACCTGACAGCTGCAATGACAGTTCTTGGTGGAGAATGACCGTGGCCAAATAATAGAAAGAAAGAACCACTTGACTTGGCTTGCAACCATTATTACTACTTTATGGGGGTGAAGAAAATAAAGTTTTTCAAAGTATGTCAGCTCAATATTATTACTAAACGGATTCATGGACGTATCGGCCAATATTGTATATTGTTGATTGTTGCATTCCCTGTCAACGCACAGAGCTCGCCGGGCCTTTGGCCAAGCATGTCCCACTCAGCTCGGATTTGGAAGAACTTTTTGGAGTTCCGTTCGCCTATTAGGCTAGTTAACTATGGATGACCCATAGCTTCGGCACAGAGCCTCACACGGCCCCAACATAAAAGGCAAGTTGAGGGCTTTGGGAGAAGATAAGAAGAGTAAGGAAAAATCAAAGTAAAATCAAAGCAAAATCGGGTGGAAAGTGAAAGAATCGGGATGTCGATATTGCAATTTCATGGCATTCGTATATCATATTGCATACGTTCGCTCTTCCGACCCTCAGCGGAACTTGATTCTCAACAAATGCAGGTTGCTAATCCCGCCAGATTTCTGAAATAAGCTTCTTTCAATATACCCACCGTGCCGAAGGCACAAGCAAATAGTGGCATCACTTCTACGAGCATATCAACACCATACATCGTTCTTCATTCACAGGTATGTACTCCCTAGCGTATACATACACGCAGGGGAGCGTCAGCTTCATACATCCGCGGTCACAAGGGCAAGTATCGCCGAACAGATATGATCGACTTTCCATCTTGGCTATATTGCGGGAATCCATGTCCAATAAGCCGCAGCCTCTCTTTCGTGAGATCGTGGCTTTGTCACCATTTCGCTGAGCCAGGTTGAGGCAAACCAAACGGAAGGCTTCTTCTTCCTGACACCGTTAAATTTCCTAGGGCTGGACTGGAAAATTACCCACAATATAGTCTCCTGCTCCCCATAGATTTAACCCTTTCATGGCATTACCGCCGGGCTGCTTTCTTCGGCTTTAAAGTTGTGCGTAAAACGCAGTCAGACACTAGACATAAAGGTCAGATTCGGACATCGTCACTTTGAATTCGTTCTCGGAATGTCTTTATTATTGCACACCAACGACCGTGATTTGGGCCTCATATCGAGCTTGCTCTGAGGCAGACAAATAGACGAAATCCAGCCCCAGCGAAGGAAAGGGTGAAAAAAGAAAAATTAATATGTGATTCAGCTTTAAATCAAGATCAAACCCCGTAATTGTTCTGGCTCTCCCTATCATGAGAAAATCAGGAAGTGCCCAGTTTCTATGATTCGAGACAATTACACATCATAAAAACGTCGAAATATCACTTTCCAACTTATTCGAAGCTATCATGAAAGCCAGTTTGACATTGATGGATCCAGAACCGCATATTGACAATCGAGGTTGCAGCAGACAAGTTTTTGAGCTTGTTTCTTGAATAATAGAATCAGTCAAAGTTAAGGAACCGGAAAAACAAGGCATTAACGACACTCATAGACAATCCCGTTGTCTCAGATCATCTTGTTCAATTCCGTGGCATTGTTCCGTTTTAAACTTTGTCTTGCACACCGTTGAAACACAGCATCCCAAGGAAACAGGGTGAGCAAGAAAGGATCCTGGGGAAAGATTATGGAGTGACCCAAAAGCCAAAAGGACCAAAAAAAAGAAGAAGGAAAAAAAAGGAATCGTACTAAGTAACTAGGGGCTTGAGGCAAAAAGCACCCTACTTGGTGTTTTCGATATGTTCCTGACCCAAAGAATAAAAATGGATCTGTCAAACAAACTGTCCAGTGGAGGAAAATACCGAGCCTTGCAACCGGTGACATCGGTGACACCTCTCTCATGCCTGCTTCATGTCGAAATCAATGTGATGGCTGCTCGGTACTCCGTATACGCAACGCATATCTCTCTGCCTTGGGACGCGCAGGAAACTAGGGACTCTGTCAGCCACTATCGATAAGCTGCGGGCCACTCTGCGACTCTGGACAGGTCAGCACGAACCCGAGCGGCAGTCACTAGTGGGGAAGAAACTAGGTGTGGGGTTCAATTTGGCATTCTCGGCCCATCTTGACATTCCTTGGAAAGTTAAAATAGACACACACACACACGAGCCACTTAAAACTATGAAGTCACGACTCAGGAGTGGTGCAGGCGTGCCGCCAGCCCTCGAGCGGCGAGAGAGCGAGAGAGGAGTGGAGCATCTCAGGGTGAACCACGAGCACCGGACGAGGGGCATATTTTTTTTGGATAGTGAACTAGTTCTATGGAGAGCTGACGTAACTATCCATCGTGAGAGGATATTTTTAATCCCGGGAAGCAAATATCATCCTTGCCCAGCCAGGTACACACGATAAATCCGCCTTCGCTTCCCAGCCCTTGTGTCGTCTTACGTCTTGGCGATGAGGTGGGAAGGTTTACTAACTAGTTACATATCACGCTTCGCTGGAAGAACGATCATGAGCTCTTTATCCTTCTCGTAAAAGGGTGTCTGCGTGAGCAGCAGAGTACCGAGGACAAAGCACATGCCTCCCAATAGAATAAGCTGCAACGCCCTACCTAGCTTTCAGCGGTCAAATGGTAATGGTCATGGGATGGACAGCTGGGAACATTCCTTTGCTCTAAAATGACATTTTTGGAGCGACAATCATATGTGGCGCCTCAAGTGTTTGGACTGTTGTTAGTGCTGCCTGTTGGTGGGTAAAAAGTATGGATCGGAAGACTAGTTACAGACAGGTGAACGATGATCTCAAATTGGTGATTGGCGTTCGGGATCTGGTATTTTGATTTGTCTCCATGACGGTTCTGTCTGCCTCACTCAAAAACCAGTTCTACGCTGCGTAAGTTATGTGTGCGCACTGGGTCTGGACATGCGCAGCAACTTGGTGATGTCTCTGCTCTGTCCCGAAAAACAAAGGAAACAGAACGGAAAAAGAAAAGAAAGTAGGTGGCTAAAATGCTCCGTATGGAATGACTTGTGCAGATCAATTCAGCAGCACCGGTACGGTACGGGACAGCCCTTTCTTCCCAGATATCCATCACAGGAATGTGTCCCCGAGAGATCTGGAGCGGGCCACATGGTAACACTTGCATAAACCAGCTGCCGTAATCCAGATTCATTATTTCTACCCTGTTTATTCTTGAAGGAGCAAAAACAGGGACCGAGCGATGTCTTCCAAATATCAGACAGGTCATTCTGCCAAAGATATGGAAATGAAGAGTGCATCAAATCAAAAGGCTCCTCTACCGTACAGGCGAAATAGTTATATAAAAAAAAATGTGTTATGTCTAGAACAATTTGCGCTCAACTGCCCATGCCAGTAAAATACTATGTGATGAGGATAGCAGAAGACTAATTTCTAGCTTTAAAAAAAAAAAAAAAAAAAAAAAAAAAAAAAAAAAACCCAAACCAAATGTATATAACGTCTTCTATTATGTTTCAAAAACAACTACATTAGAAGGAGGAAACTGGATCGTGTTAATACCGACGCCTTCTTTTTCAAAAATATTGAACGCCGGTAAAATGTAATAATATTTCCTCCCTGATTTTATCGATCACAAAAGCGTCCTGAGAACCACCGAGACTTAACAGGAACTAACTTTGAAATAGAAAGAAGGAAGGCAAGGTAATCCTGGCTCGGAAGAAAATATATATATATGAGACACTTTTTTGCATGAAAGTGGGAATTGGGAAGGCCGAAAATGTAAAGAGGTAGAAAAAGCGATCCATTAAATTAAAAAACGTATACTTTTTGTTCATGGCGTATATATCATTAATTATGCGATTACATGCTGGACGGTGAGGAAGTTTGCTCATTGTCGCTTAACGGGGATTGTCGATGCCCGCTCCTATCTGATTCGGACGCTCGCACTTGATTTCGCAGTGCCGGCAGTTGGCGACGTCGGGCGTTAATGAACCAGTTGCTAATCTGTGATAAAAGTTAGTTTACAAATTATGCTCGGCTGCCTGAAAGAGATAAGAATATAAGAGTGCACATGGGCGTTACCTGGCTAATAGTCAAACCGGTTCTACTAATGAACATTTGCTTGTCCTCCTCGCTAGGATAAGGGTGATCAAGATGTTCATGGAACCAAGCTCGAAGTACATCAGTTACTGATTTCGGTAGATTCCCTCTTCGCTTTTTGTTTTTCGAATCAGACGGTTCGGCTTGAGTCACGAAACTTCGATCTTGAAGACTACTAGTGGAAATTGGGGAGTAATCAAACTCATGCCTGAAGGAATGAGGGTGGGATCCGTATCGTGGGCTTTCATATGGGTGATTGAGTCTCAGAGGCTCGGACGGTAAAATGGGGTTTGGTGGGATGACATGTAAGGGTTGGCATCCCGTAAGATGCGAACTTGTAGGTCTCGAGTCAAAAGAAGGGGTGTTTTGACTAGGGGAATTTTGATATTCTGGTGGCAGGCTATTGGGTTCAAGTCCGACCTGTCCTCTATTGTAAGGGCTTCTATCCGTAGGAATCGAGTGAATGTCACTTATGGGAGGAAGTGCTCCCCCAGAATTGAAGCAAGAATTTGAAATGGACGTTGACGGGCCGATGGTATCGGAAGCCTGCCGTTTGAGAGACGGAACTCCTCCGTGAGGTTGATATTTTGGGAATCTATCAGTCCGGAGAGGAATTTCATTATAGCTATCGATTTTAGTTGCCGAATGTGAGCGTGAAAGACTGGCTCCTAGAATCGATCTAGGGTGCACAGGTGATGAAATAAATGAAGGTGACCCTTGGTGATGAGGTGTCGTAGGAGCGGAGTATGGCGTAGAATCTATCTCCTCATGAAGATATTGAGGAAGGAGCTGGAGCAGACAAATATCAGTATTTTCGAAATGTGAATAATATGAATGTGCTATCCACATACATCTCTGAATGGCGGAAGAGTTTGTGTTTGTCCGCCGTTTCTGAACTCGCTTGAATACGATAGAACCATATTTTTCGACTCCTCTTCTGATTCCACCTTGCGGGACATGCGGATGTCTAAACGGTTGCTAACTCAGCTTATCCTCCAGCTTTTAAAGTCAACGGAAACTATGTTGGACGGGAATGAGTTACGTCAATGATGGCCTTCGGTGCTAGCCAGTCGGACGTTAGACAGGAAATGGAAAGCAGCCGCCATTCGGAGTTATGAATCATGCGGACAGCACTCAAATTGCAGTGTGCAGGATCAAAACAGGAAATGTTCTAGTAGGTTGGGTCTAGATCAAAAATTGAGGGTGAGGGAGAACCAAGAAGGGGAAAGTTGTTGCTACTCTGGTACCATCACGGGAAGCTTTTTGACACAGCATTGTTATTTTGGAAGGCGTGGAGTTAACAGGGTGGGCTATGGAGACCAAGACCCAATACTATTGCTGAGATTACCCCGGCAGGGAAAATGGGTGCGAGAGTTGGCTCTCATTCGGCAGACATGAAGGCAACACTACTGTGCCTGTCAAATGGGAGATCTCTCTGCAACAACCTACCACGCACACTCCCCATAAGATGATCCGAGTGAGTGCCAAAAGTAAAACGACGATTATACTGGGAATTAGCTAGAAACTCCAACAGCTTCCAAGACGAGAGGGGTAATATAATTGACACGAATCGGGTACCGCAAGGGTAAGATCCTTAAGGTTGACCTGACAGTCGATGGAGTCAGGGTTTTGGCGCTGGGTTGCAGAATGATGTGCAAGGTAGCGCCTCCAATCGAGACCCAGATGCTCCTAAAATTTTTGATAAACCGCGCTAGTCAACAAAGCCACGACGGGAGGAGTTGTGCCCCCAGTGGGTCAGATAGAATGGCATTTCCCACGGAAAGTTTGGGTCAGATTGAAAAACGTAGCGCTGCGCTTCCTCCCGCCGAATACCGAGATAGCGTGGGAAAAATAAACCGTAGCCCATCTTCCTCGTGGTCTTCTGCTCAACCCCCAAAATGCGAATTAAGCATGGCAGCTAAATAGACAGCATAAGATGGATGGGTTGAATTCGGATTTGCTGAGAAACATGAGCAGAAACCAATCCCTGGTTTCAACATGTCCGTATTCCTGTGCCTTGATTCTTCGGATCCGAGTTTTGAAAACTCGAAACGTCTGTTACGCAATAGCGTGAGCCCCGGACCGTGGATTTGTTGGGTGCAGTGTGAGGGCGCTCAGGGCTGCATCCAGATGTGCTTTTGTTATGACAAACCCACAAGGTTTGATGTGCATGCGAGGCTAGGCGTTCCATCAACGAATGACGGGCCTCCGAGTTTCACTCCAGGGATGTTCTGTACATGTACCTGCCCCAGCCCAAGTCGTACCAAGTGACCCTTGAGGCCCCCGTCATCAGGATTTGCGGATTGCCAAAATCCAGATCCATCAATTTTTTCTGCAAAAAAGCAGATGGAAAAAGAAAAAAAAAATATTGCACATCACTACTCCGTATTTTGAACAGGTTTTTGTTCACAACTTCAAAAAAAGGTACATATCTCATGGCCTGTTGAGCCTATCGATTCGGTTTTGAGCTTAATCTGAAGCAAGTCCTCGCAACTCAATCTGGGTTAGTTTTTCCAGGAAGTCTTGGAATCTTGTGCACCATTCCGCGCTCTTGGTATTTTGTAATACTAAGAAATAAATTTCTTTCCTTTTTTCCTCACACTCCCAGACCCACTGAGCAAATAAATCCTTCCGGCCGGCCACCAAACAGCGCCCCACGATCTGCCACTTGGGGGGCAACCTATCAATCGCACCAATGAGCAGTCTCGTGGGTTGGGTTGACAAGTGCCAGGCTTGCTAACCTGATCACCATGACGTCCGTGATAGATGTAACCAACCCAAGGGCAAGGGGGTACTCGAAATCATATCTATTATTATCCCGATTGTTGTGCGGTGCGTGTGAGCCAGGGATTCCGTGCTTCGTTCGGAATTGCGAGTTCTGGTAGTCTGTCTAGTTCCAAGGTTGAAGTCGCTGATCAATGGTTCCATGCGTTAGGGTTTTCTCTTTAAACAAAATCCGTGGGGAAGGTACATGTACTATAAAAGGAGAAACGTGGAGGTACACAATCGTGGAGGATTCAGCCAGTACGGCCGTTGAGCAGCAGGGCATGAAAACATTAGACTGGTAAAGAGCAATCACTGGCCTCTGGTTGTTCCTGGCCATGGACTATATGCAAGTTGGTGCTGCCTGGTGCACGTTTCCCCCTTTTTTCCGCCTCCTTCTTTCACGGAAACGTGCCCTGAATGTATATCCACCGCTGCCTTTCCTCTGTTTTCTCGTTTGGCGCGGCGTTTCAAGGCAGTGAGTTTTCACAACTAGGCGGGTCGAGCATGATAGGAGGCTCGAGCAATATCTATGGATGGCGGCATGAAGCTACAAGCATTGGTGTACCCCAGATGACAGCTTGCGCCGAATCCCAGCCCTGTCTTTGACCAATTGCTTGCGCACGTCAATTCTTGGGATGCACAGAAACAACCAGCAACAACATCTGACCGGGTGTGTCAAAAGAAAATGCCGGTGATTGTCCCAGAGAGATGTGATGCACAAGGGAAAGGCGACTTTTGGGTCTGGTCTTGGTTGTGCACCGTTGACGTCCAGAGCTTCCTGAAATGGACGACGGCGGCCAACTCGAGTATCCCAAAATCGCGCGTCCACAACCACAACAGCCACCATATTCTGTGAAGATATCAACATCCCCTCTGCGCTGCCAGTTTCGCTGTGGCCATAGAATATCTTCCTACACGGTCGGTCTTGTATGCACCTCCAGCCACTTTACACCTGTCTCGGCCCATTCTGGCGGTGACAAACAGAGGAAGAATCTGCCAATAAGAACATACACCGCAGTACGTCAGACTATACATCCCTGGGCGCTGCAGCAACACTACACTCGCGCTGCCGTACAGTATTTATAGAATTAATGACTCTAATACAGACCTGTGGAGTTGATTACAACTGTTCCGGCATTTCTTACACCTTGCTCAACGGCCAACAACAGTGAAGCCTTTTCGCGGAGTGCTCTCTAATTGTCACGGGCTTCTCAACGGTGGATTATTATCCTGTTAAAACATTCGATCAGCCTGGAAATAAATTCCATCTTGGTTATAATGCCTCTATCCTGTTTCTTCCTCGCGTTCTAGCTGATTGCTAGGGCCAGCAGAAGCAGCTTCAATGGGAAATCCTCTGACTTGTCCGCCTGTTATCATGAATTGCGAGGCATATTATATTACTACAACTGTGGTAGTTTTGCTAATGGTGAAAAGGGAATTTCGGCACTGACGTAAACTCGTCGCCCAGTCCACTTCCAACACAGCTCGGCATGACACTTTTGATACCCGATCTTTTACCCTAGAGAGTTGCTAGAGGGTAAAACGGAGATGTTTCTCATATGGGTTACTGCAGGGTGAAGGGGAACAAGGGGTGGTTACACTGTGTCCGGCCCCAAGGTCAGTTGCAAAATTTGTATGGGTTGGCATTACCGGCTCGGGGTTCTACCTATACAACCATGGCTGTTAGCCCAGCATTGGCTGTATAACTGGTTACTTTTTAGCAAGAACTATATAGCCGCCTTTCACGTCGGGAACACATATCATAGCCTCCGGTATAAAGATCCATCGGACATTTTAACACTTTGTCCGCTTTTTCAAGACTGGAACACCAGGTGGCTGTACCATAGCTTGCTGTTAGGGATCTGGGTCGCCACAAAAGGCTTGCTCGAAAGAAAGGAACAAGCCGCTTGTTTGTACCATGCACACATAGGTACTGTACAACAACCGCAGTTTAAAGTTTATCCCAAGGTTGTGGGGGAAAATAAAATATTGCACGAGATTTGTGACACCATTGGCTCTGTCAAAGTACGGAGTAAGGTATTTTCTCTGAAAATGTCCTGCAGGGTTTGGTGATGTATCACCAGAACGGCGGCTACTTGCCGTTCAGAAAAAGGAAAGAGTGACAACTGAAGGGCCACAAAAAGTTAAAAAAGGCATCATAAAAAGTAGGGCAGGGTTGGCCGTATCCCATTGTTGATATATGATATGGCCGTTTCCCAGAGGAGACGCAAGTGGAAAGATAATTGGTAAACCCGCTCCTTGCAGTACGTACCGTACCTCAACATCCAACAAAGACGATCACCAGCACGGAAAGGCGCCCATTGTCTCCTCGTCCATGCGGGCTTCCCACGATGCACTATTGTCTGCAACCGTCTCACTTGGAACGAAAGGCATTGCTACCAACGGTCCCGAGAAAAGAAAAGGATTCGAATTGCCGGGAACGAATCAGCTGGCGGATTTCAAACGCCCCGATTATGTCCATGCGTACGCCAAGCTTAACGAGGTGCAACAATGATTTCCCTCCCACTCTGTTATGAATAACCACTTAGGACAAGAAATAAGAAAACTCAATTCTTGCGCTGGTTTTTCTACATCCAAATGTCATTGCGGCGCACTGCTGAGTACAGATAAGGAGTACATGCAGAGTACATGCGACTAGTTTCTTTCTTTTCCTTGCTATGGATTGAGTTCTGCCAAATCAGGGACGAACTCCCTAGCCTACCGCGAATCTAGGATAGATAGGTATCTGGCAAGTGAGCAGGGGATCCTAACATCAGAAGCCATGTTCTAAGTACCTCTACGCATAACAATCACCCAGTATTGCAATTGCATTGGCCAAAGTGAGAGAAGGGTTGTATTGGTTGTCTGCCGTCCCGTCATGCAGACAGGCATAGACAACTTGGTCAAGGTTGAACCCAAGCGAGCTGTCTGGGCTACAACTATACCCCTGAGAATAAAGGATACATCCCATCAGCATTGATAGCGCTCTTTGGCCGTACTGGCAAGTTCAAAACTCTAGTTTTATGCAGCGTTTCTCTTGAGATGTTAGAAATACACACACATAGTCGATATCCGGTTTGCTAGAGGCGCCTACATCTGCATTACCCGTTTATTCGAGCTTATATTTCTGAACGACAAGGGGAAAGAAATCGAGATGCCGGAGAATGCAGCAGAACCACTTTAGAAGTGAGGGAGGGTTGTTTCGAGAAACCAGTGCTGCGGAGGTTGTTTGGCCTCATTAAACCAAACAATTCACACGCGTGCAGTACATACATGCATTTCAGCTGCTCCTTTCTCGCGAGTTTCAAACGGGACGGAGAATAATCATGAAGTAAGGAAACAAGGTGAAGAATAAACGAATTGTATTTTTTCCTGTTGCTCTTTTCTCTTTTCACTCCTTACTCTTTGCGCACAGTCCTTATCCTCAACCTAACTTGCACCCAAGATTTTCCCGCCCATCCGCCAAAACTCGAGCTATACCCATACATTTAAAGAGGCCCCTCACCCCCCCGCTTCCTCCTTCTCTATGGGGTTCAATACCCAAATAACAGGTAAACCACGGCATAATTTCTCCCCAACTCCTCAGCAAAGGCACTCCTCTGCATGCGCAGCCGCCGCGAACGTCACTACGAAAGCTTCCAGCTTGAACAAACGGAGTGGAGTATTAAAAGAATGGAATCAATAAGGTCAGTGATTCGGCAGATCCAAGCCTTTGGGATGGGAGCCACGCTTCATTAACCATTTTAAATATCAGTGGTATTGCATGAAATACACACTGAGTGAGAAAGAATGAGCCATACAATCAAACTAAACGAGGGTGAACAAACAAACGAACAGTAAGCAATAAATAGGTAGTCAGGTGGTGTTGGATTTAACCTTGGAAATAATCAACAGTTCACATACATTGAACAGATCAATGATCTTTTAAGTGAAACAAGAAGCCCCAAAGCAATACCCAAAAAAGAAACCGAATCAGGCAATTAAAAAGTGTTGCGGAAAAAGGGGCCCAGCCGTAGTTAAAGTGAGCTAAGGTGGAATGAGGTTCTTCCGAAATCTCTGTATATCATTGAAGAAGAGGCGTCTCTCTAAAAATCTAAGATATTCAAAAAGAGACAATAGTAATATGTGAACGAAGAACTAACCTAAACATAGCCGCCTCCCATGAACAAGAGAAAATATAATATATATATACTAGCCAAAACGAAGGAACCAAAAAAAAAAAAAAAAAAAAAAAAAAAAAAAAAAAAAAAAAAAAAAAAAAAACATACAACGGGGAAGAATACATCGGGCAGCGAATAATGCTGTAAGGAAACGTAAAATGTTCTTTTCCGTTTCCAAACCCTGGAATCGTCATCACTTAACGTGTAGGGTAAAGGTAGACAATAGATATATAAATATCTAGGATAGCTATATCAAAAACAAAAGCCCAACCAAACAAACCATGGCTTTGGGAAATGTGGCATTTTCTTTGCCAGGAGGGGAGAGTGTGAGAAGAAAGAGGAGTGCAAGAGGTAGGATCCAACTAGAGCCTAGGGAGCTTGGGAAGCTGGTAAGGTGAAGTTGGTTGGATGTTGTGAAGGTTAGAGATCTCCAAAGACTTTAAACTGCGTCGCTAGCTCGTGCTCAAATGCTAACATGCTCAATTCGACGTAAGGTAGAAGACTGCTTTAATTAAAGGTAATGTAGCTTGAGTGGCGAGAGGATGTGAAATGCTGAGAAACTAGAACATAAAATCTAGTAGCTAGCTTGCGGAGTGGAATAGGTATATATGACGACTGGCGCTTAAGGATGTAGGTGCTCGTATAAATGGCGTCGTGATATTTTTACCACGTTTCCTAGATAGGGGGGAAATGTCAGCATTTTGCACATTCTAAATCGTGAAGTTGATCGATAGCGCATAAAATTTCAACATAAGAAACGGGTAAGGATTGAAGAGTACATACCGCGATATATTGGCCCGCATCCTTCTTGCCTTGCCAGAAATGCTGCGCTTCTTCGCGATTGAGATTTCCCTTGGCCATAGCAACATCTACCAACGCAGCCTCAACGCCTTCGCCCATACCCTTACTGCTCCCGCAGACGAAAACGCGTCCATCAAGCGAATTGATGACGAACCATACAAGATCAGCTTGGTTGCGCACCTCTTCCTGCACATATCTGCCCTCACCGCTCCGGCTCTGGACGACCTTCTTCACTGTTTCTTCATGCACACCCCATTCACCGGAGTAGAGTTCATCGAGCAATGAGTCACGGATCCCTTGAAGAACCCACACCTTGTTGGCACAGTTCGCAGACTTCAAACGTCGCTGGACGAATCCACGGAAAGGGGCAACACCGACTCCAGCGCCAATGAGAAGCATAGGTCCATCTGAAACAAATTCACGCGCGAGAGGGTTGGACATCAGGCCACGGAACATTGGGATGTGCAAGTTTAGGGACGAGATGTCGTCACCCAATTGCTCAGCGTGAAGAAGCTGTTTTGCTTTCCGCTCCAGGAAACCAGAGCCCACACCAGTTCTTTTCCCACCGCGCCAATCAGGGGCTTCGTGGACAGTGACGGCGATCTCGATCAGTCGCTTGCATTTTCCGTTGCCGTCGCGAATATTGCATGAGACGAGCGGATCTTGGGAAAGGGAATAGAATCGTGGCATAAGAGTATTGAGGATGGAGAGTAGGTAATCCAGAGGAGGCTGCGCGGAGGGGAATGCAGATAGGAGTTGAGGTACTGTGGTATGTTGGCCAGTTCGAAGGTCGCAGAACGCCCCCTGGCCTTGTGCCGATGAAAGGAACATCAATATCTTCTTCTCATCCCGATCCGTGGCGTACTCTGCTAGGAGTCGGAAAATTTGTTTTGTAGGAGGGTAGCTCTGGAGGTCAGAGCACCACGAAAGCAATTCACGTCTGGTGGTTAACAGGCTTCGGGCCTTTTCATCCCCCCAAACAGTAGGCCATCGACCGTTGGTGGTGTTGACCATCACCTTCCTATCTCGGACCGTTTTCGGAATGCTAAGGAGGTTGAAAATTTCATCTACCACCGCATCTGAATTTTGGGGGCAGATGCCAATTGCACCTCCAACCACGAAGTCGACATCACCACCCTCAGCAGGGTAGTCTGTAACATCGATATCGAAATGATAAGTACGCTTTTCGGCGCCGGGCTTGGTCAACTCTCGAGCATGATGAAGGGGTGCACGGAAGACCTCGTAAGGGGGATGCGGTTGGACGAATGTAGGTGGGTGATCTGCTGGGCCTGATTCTTTATCGGCCAAGTCCTTTGGAACGGGAGAAAACGACACGGTCTTCACGGGCAAGGGGGTAATATTCGTCAGAATACTGTCATGCGATAACTGGCCTAGTTGTAGTTTCAAGCTTTCGAATGCCTTATTCTTTGGTTTTATGACAGGGTGAATCGAGGACGACGACGCAGGCTCTTGGAGAGGCTGAAGCTTGCAGCATCCTCCACCACAGCAAATCTTTTCAAGAACATGTGTACCGCCCTTACCACTGCCTAGGATTTTCTCGACATCCTCGGAGCTCTGTGATATCAATACAGTAGACGCCCGTCTCCGACGTTTAGAAGTCAATGGAGGTGATTTTGAACCGATAGTAAGGTCTAAGATCCCCTCCGTGACATCATCTGTTGATTGTTCGGTTCCCGGGGTTGAGGGGGTGTCCGTGCCACTAAATGGCTCTGCTGTTCCAATAGATACAGAGGATGAATGGGTATCCAGTGAGCCAACTGGCAGTGGATGAATTATTTTGAGGTGTGGTAGTGTTGTAGGTTCTTCCGGGATTGGATTGCCTGGGTGAGATGTGCTGGAAACGGGGACTGTTTCCACTTGCTGAACCAGAGATGACGCCATCCTAGCTATTGAAAGAAACGAATTTGCAATTGCAACTATTTCCTCAATTTGATATTAGTTTTGTCTCAAGGAGGGGCCAATAAACCTCCAGAGATATCAATGGGTAGCGTACCTGTACACGGATATATTTAGATATTCCGAAGCAGGAGAGACAAGACGAAAAATACCGCCTGCTTAGCAACACGCGTCTAGATTAAAAACGTGTCGTCCAAATCAGGTATATACCCAATCGTATTTCGGGGCAGAGAATATATGCCGCTGACGTATTAAAAAGGAAATTGAGGCGTCTCATCGAGAGGAGAGGCGGAAATAAAGGGATAGCTCTAGTTGCAAATAAGGACTGAAGGGAGACATTGCTTTCTGTGAAGAGGGGTAGCGGGAGAAGGATAGGAGGAGGATAGGGAAGGGGAGTGATGAAATTGGGATGGGGCGAAAACGACATCGGCAGCAGAGCGGAAAAGTGGGTTGACCCGGAAAATACGGAGAACACGCCCGTATTATTACCAAGGGATAATTTACGTAACCACTGCCGTAACTTCATTAAATACTTACCAAGAGAGTTCGTGCTTAACTAATGAAGCGCAATACAAAGAAAATTATGTCCCTATTTTAATTAACATCCATCAGTCAGTGATAATGGCAAAATGATATCACCCTTTATCAGTCATTGAAGTTCAGGGTACAGCGCAAGGTCCTGGCAGCTTCTATAATACGAATTAGATACTGCCGTATTTAACACAGAGTCTGGCCCGATTCAGGAATCAGCCGCAAACCTTAACTACCGTAATCAATCAGCGGATCAGATTAGATCATCTGTTTGTATGTGTTGAAGGTCTGAGTGAGTGGTTTGTATTGGTTGCTATCTAGAGTGCGCTATATGGTTGGTGAGGGGCGCTAGTCCGTACTAGGAAGCCTAGAGCTCTCACACCCCCTCTCGGACTAAGTAGTTCTGTGCTGATGCTGAGCTGGGTTTGAACTGATAGCTAACTAGTCATATTATAGTATAATATTACAATTATCAAAGTTATTATAAAAGAGTGAAAATTGTCTATTCTCTGTTATTATTACTATTATTCTTCTATTATACTTATATACAAGCAGAGCTTATAATAAGTTCTTGCATGATGTTAAATACAGGCTAAGTGTTGATTATACAGAAGGAAATACAGGTGTTGAGACTATATTAAGATAATAAGAACATAGGAAATACAAATGAGTGACAATTTGATACATGTGATAATAACTTCTCAGCTCAGAAATATAAAGTAATTTATTATAGTAATTTATACATCTCTGTAATATAGTGAAATTGAAGTAGTAGTTAAATAACAGTGTCATATAGTAAGCTTGACTATTATGCTTAAATAGCAAGCTTATAAGCTACAGAGTTATTATAAGAATATTATAGATACTTAGTATGTTAAAAAAATTATATAAGAATAGTAGTAACTCTTATATATATTATTAGAAGAGAAAAAACAAATCACTGATTTCTTTAATAAAGAGTTAGTATTTAATTATTTTATATAAATAATAAGTAGTCACTCTCTCTTTATTCTATAAGTAAGAATAGCTGAAGTAGTACTTGTTAGATCACATGATCTAGCTTATTAATTCTTTCACTATATAACTTTTCACAAAGCTAGTAATCTTTCAATCACACAAGCTTTACATCTTTCACAGGTTATGAGACTTGTTTTGTATAAAATTGCTGCCAATTCGGGATTTCTTATTAATATACTTATTATTTAAACTACTGCTTCATTTGATACACTCATCAGAAGTTAAAATCATCTTATTCTATCAGTATTAATGTGTTTAAGATCTTGATAATTAATAATACTACTGCTCACTTAAAAAAGAGGCTTGCAGAAAACATATTACATTTGCAAAAAAAAAAAAAAAGTAAGAAAAGAGAATGATATTGATAAGAATTCAATAAATAAATATCAAGATAGCAGATTTAATACAATTCTGCTTATATACATGTTTGTAATCTCATGTTCTTTTCACTGAGTCAGTTGCAGTTGATGATGATAATTCTTCACACTTATACTCTGTCAGTGAACATTCTTCTGAAGTCTTTGAAAGCTTCATTATTAAAACACTCTCTCAATTTGAAGCTGGTTTAAATACAGCTTCTGACACAGTCAGGCCGGCTCTTCAATCTACTTAACAGCTTGATGAAGCTGATTCTCATGAAATCAACAGTTCAGATGAGACAATATCAAATCAACAGATGAAGCATCTTAAGATAATACTTGAGATGAATAAGAGAAAGCAAAGAGTTCTAGAACTTGAACTACAACTGGAAAAACTTCATTAACAGAGATTCTCTATAAATTAATCACAGAATATTAACAATCATTCTGTCATTACATTAACAGTCTGTACAGTCACATGGAATTCTAATCTCAGTGAAAGGTTGAAATTCAACCTTTATAAACTGAATAGTCATGTTGACAAGGCTATCTCTCAATTCAAGAAACATATTAAGAATACTGTGAGACTAAACAGTCTAACTGACACATTCAATTACATTATATGAAGCATCTTCATGAAATCAAAACTGATTGATGCACAGTGCTGATATATGATAGAGAAATAACAGACTCAGAATTCTCTACAAAGAGATGATAAATAAGCATCATTCTGAGATACTAGAAATCAATGACTCTACACATTCATCTTGAACTTCTTGAGTGCAGGTATCAGATCACATTTCTTCAAATATAATGAAAATTAAATCACTTATACTCTATGAAATGTGATTGAACAGAAATACTCTGTTCTCAAAACACAGTTACATTATAAGATAGTTCTGAAATTTATGTCTCTTAATGACATACAGATCATTAATCTACACACATTCTTCAATAAGTTCTGATTCATTATTATGAAATTAAAGATGTTGAATGCTTCTCTCTCAGATGCATGAATATTTAATACCTTCTACTCAGTTCTATTCAACAATTGAAGAAATTATATTCAGAAGAAGATAGAGAAGATACAGAATTTCAAATTCATAGCTATGATATTGAATATTAATCTTCTCATGAAGAAAATCTGTTCACAGCTTGATTCTTTAAAAGATAAAAAGAATCTACAGAATATAGATTCTGCAGTTAACATAGCTATGACAGCTATAACAGTTACAATAACTATCAATAATAATACATCAAATTTAGCCTGTGAAGATCATATTAAATGTGATTATAATAGTACTCAAGAGAGCTTCTGAAATCATTGAGAATCAGAAAATTCATCTATCTATTCTGAATGTGAGAGATCTCACTTTAACATCTGTTAATTAATCAATTCAGACAGTGCTCTGAATAATTGAAGAATAAACAATGCTGTGAGAATAAAGAAATTCAAGAAAAAGAAGAAAAAGAATAATAGTGAGAGTAGAACTTAACTATTTATTACAGATGAATCAGATATCTATCAGATAATAAATCTCACAGAGATTATCAATGTATCAGTCTGTTTTATGAAATCTCACAAGAATTCTCTCACTATATAAGATAGTGATGCTGAATGTCACATAGTGAGTGATAGATCACAATTTTCAGAACTTATAGCAATCAATGATTCAATAGTTTAAGTGATCAATAAGATTATTATAAAGATTCAGAGTATTGACACTGTATTTATCTCAGTGAGTGAAAGATTGATAGAATTCAATTATGTATACTATGTATCAGAACTATTTACAAATCTGATCTTCACTGAGCTTATGAAATGTCAGAGCTATATTCATTATAATATACAAGTTAATACTGAGAACTACTTTGAGTTTTTATTATCTATCAATAGTGATATCTTCTACATCAATCTGTCTCATAATAATATTTACATTCTATCTGACAGCTTATCAATATTTTATGAGATAATGAATAACTCAATGTATGAAGCAGTGATATATATGATCATTCTGAAATCAAAGACAATCTCAACAGATTACAATTCAAATGCAGAGTCTTTGAGATCTTTCAGCTGTGAGAAGATTGAATAGTTAATCAACTCTAAGAATTCAGATACTAATTTCTTTATTATCTCATCTTCATCTCAATTATCTGCAGTTCTTCTGAAACAGCTTCTGATAGATAAGTGATATCATTAACTTAGTCATATCAGTGAAAATAGTATGTTAAAAATGATCAGAGATCTGTAATTTGATATTATTATTATCAGTCTGAAGAAATTATCATTCTGTATTATATGTATTAAGTTTAAACAGAAACATACTTTCTACAAGAATTTCACACCACATCATGTCATTCACAAGGCCTTGAAGATTTGAGTGAATATATTCAGTGATAATGAGACTCTTGAAACTGAGAATAATATATTATCTTACACTGATAAGAAGCTTGCAATGATGATAACAGATAATGTCATCTGTATGAGATGAATATTTCTATTGAAATGTAAGAATGAGATGTTGAGATATCTACAGATCTTCAATTAATTTATTAAGAATCTGCTGAAATATAGTATTGTAATCATTCACTCAGATTATAAAGAATTGAATTCAAATTCAGTCATAGCATATATACTCAGCAAAGATATAAAATAAGAGTTAACTCTTTCTTATACTTCACAGTAAGATAGAGTATCTGAATAATCAATTGATTTGATCATTGAGAAGTTCTGATCACTATTAATAGACTCTTCAGCTCTGAAAAAGATATGAGATAAGATAGTTATTGCTGTCACAGAGCTGCTTAATCTTACATCAATCTCAATGATATTGTATGAGAGCTCTGAAAATACAAAGCTGATTACACTGTATGAGATCTGACTTGAGACTCTATCTTCTGCATATGATATTCACTGATGAGGTTGCAAAGCATTCTTGAAGATAGTTCTCAAGCTCATCAATAAAATGACTTCTCATTTCAAAGAGTTGATTTTTGTGAGTTATGATGATTTTATTAATTATAGATTGATAAACCTCTTCAACAGGTATTTATATATATCAAAAGATGTCATCTTTCAGAAGAACCTTTATCTTGTTAATTCATTGATATCAACAATGCACAACTCAAAGATTCTACTCAATACAGTCTGTAAAGTGACTGTAGTAATTTCTTCAGTGACATCAGGCCTACTCACTGCAGTCTGTTAAGAGATTGCAGTGATTTCTGATTTATCAATAGATGATCTATTCATTGATAAGAAAATTCAATCTATGTATTCATTATTTCTCATACTTACTAATAATTGATGAATTGACTATGATATCTTCATGAGAATATCTATCTTTTTAGTGCAGAATACACTGAACTTCTCAGAACTCACAGTTAAATCAGATAATTCTTCAACATCTATAAGAAATATCACTACAGTGAGAAAAGCTTCAGTGAAGAATAGTCTTGAAGATTTACTCACTAATTCTGAAATTGCTGCACTTCTGATCTCAAAAAACCTCACACATATCAAAGCTTTCATGAAATGAAAGTATTATTATAAGGTCTGTGTTAAAGAGATTAATTATTTAAAATAGATAGAGATCTGATAAC